AGAGGTCAGATTTTTGCTTAAAGGTCTTTCATGCATGTTCAGTGTCACCTGTTAGGCATAACTTGCTGGGAACTGTGAGTGCTGAAGTACTCTTGTCCATCTCATTTATTTTTCTTGATGGACGAATAAAGGTCCTGTTCAGGGAAGGAACCAACACTAATAGGTGGCTTGTGACCCGGTGTGGAAATTGTGCTGTTGTGCTCTGGTTTCTTTCTCGAGGCCATCGTCCGTCTCTTCCAAGCCTCTGGAGTGGCCGTCATCTTCACAGCAACGCTTCACGCCCAACCTCTTAATAGTAGACAAAATTTGAGGCTTGGTTCTAATATTTCTAGCTTGTTCTGCATAGTGTAGAGTCTTGATAGTTTCATGCACATTAAAGTTGCCTGGGCTGACACAAGCAATCATTGCTGTGTAGCTATTGCCACCCAAAGAGTCATTGAGGAGTCTTGTTAATACAGATTTCCTGTAAGGAACATAGCCAGCTGTAGGGTTACTGAGAGCAGCCAAAATCTTGCTGAGTGCCAGGAGACCTTTATTAATGATGACCCCCTCAGTAAACTGCTGGCCAAACATCTGTGTTTGACTGACACCTTCCGCTCCAGCCAGATCGACCAGCTTTAAGCACGAATGATGACAAGCGTTCTTTAATGTGAGATATACAGTCTGCACGGAATGTTAAGTCGCGATAGGGCTGACGAACTAAGTTCTCGCAAAAATAAGATCATATGTTGTGAAGCCTGACCTGGGATGCGAGATGTCAAAACTCTTGGTTTGTTGGCAAGTGCTGACATTTGGCAACTGAGAACACGTCACGGCTTGTAGTCAGTGCGCCTCTGGCAGCTGTGCAGGGAATATTTATTGTGCGGGTTCCCGCGCCATGTGGCCATGTTTTGTCTAGTTTAAGGTGCATTAACCCAACATAGTGGCCATCAGAGATGTCCAGGAGGGTTATTGCATTGTACAAAGCGAACCATGTACTGAGAGAAATATCTGCTCAGACTGGTGTGGCACTACGAGTTGTTCAAAATCTTGTCAAACGTTTCTGTGACTTTGGAGAGGACGAGTTACCAGCTCCATTACCTAAGTCTGGTAGGCCTAAATTATTGTCTCCATGGACACTTAAGGTTATTTCTCGACAAGTTCGGTCCAGCACTCACAGCACGTGAAGTGAAAGAGAGAAACCCCCGTCTTTTGAGTCACGTCTCGTTACGTTGTGTTCAACAAGCCCTGCACAATGACCTGGGATTTAAGAGCTTTCGTGCCTGCCATAAACCTCTGTTGACAAAGAGACGGAAGGAAAATATAGTGAAATTTTGCAAGAAATATGAAGTGTGGGATTTAGAGACATGGAGGAGTGTATTATGGTCGGATGAGGCTACATTTTCTGTGACTGGGAGTAATGGAGGGAGGGTGTACCCCCCCCTCACTCAGACGCGCACCTCCCACAGTACACTGTAAAGACTGTTAAGCACCCTGCCTCGCTTATGGTTTGGGCTTCCTTTACGTATTATGGTGTTGATGAACTAGTAATCCTCCCTAAGAACCAGATAATGAATCAGTACAACTATCTTGAACTGCTCAGTGATTTCTTACCTGTATCATTTGATAAAGCTAAGGCAAGCCTTTTCATGCAGGACGGTGCCCCATGCCACACTGCTAAAAGTGTCATACAGTGGCTCAAAGACTGTGAGGTACCTTTCTTTAATGACTGGCCTGGCAGTAGCCCAGATCTTAACCCAATAGAAAATTTGTGGTCCATTGTTAAGCGTCGTCTGCGCGACGCTGACACATCATCAATCCCGAAGCTAGAGGCAGCCATCAAAGATACCTGGGCTAACTTGCCACCTGACCTCTTGCAAAACCTTGCTGACAGTGTTCCTCAAGGGCTAAAAAGACTGTCTGAAGTGCAGAGGAAACACTACAAAGTATTAATTGAAGTGGTAAGTGTTACTTGACTTTATATAACATAATCGTAAATATCAATATTTTTTCAGCACACTATCTAACATTCCGCGCAGACTGTATAATAGCATGGGAACGAGAAGAATGTCGATTTCCCTGCTGTGGCTCCAACACTACGTAGGTGGCTGCTCTTCTTCAAGCGTATAATTTAGGCTGAAAATATTATTACTGCAAGTATGAACAAACTAAAGCTATCAATTAAAGGATACCTAGTTTATTTCTCCTGAGGCTCCTCATTATTTTCTTCTAATTCTTATACCTGTATATGGTGCAATATTCAAATTTTCACCATTTTGGTTTCGCCCACATTGACTTTTACAAAGAAATGCACTGGTTTACTTATTCCTCCCTGATAAGGTACAGCAGCAGTATGCCAAAAATGCACTCTTGGTTATTCTGTAGGTACTGCTACCTTAATGACGGACTGTGTTGTCAATGGTTATGTTAGTCCGAATAAAGGCCATCTTGGTAACTATCATTGTATAGTCTACCCACCATGTATGTGCATTAGGCATTGGCTTTTTGCGTATGGCTGCTATACTTGTATCCTGTGCCTATTGAAAAAATTTTCTTTTGTTAATGTTAGACCACATGAACCAACGGATACACCCCATTTCGTCACCACTAACAGACCGTTAGTCGCCTGTATTCGTGACAAATTGCAAGTTATTATTTTACACGGATAGAAATTACACGTGTATACAGATGACTCGAGAATTATTGTGTAATTATTATACATGAATATTAATTATTTAATAAAGAAAGCGATTAAGACATTGGTAAATAACCAAAATGCAGAACAAATGAAGGTGATTTCTTCTTCATTGATTTGCAATTACAACTGCAATAGTTGCCAAGAACATGCAAAAATTGTGCACAGGAAAAGCAAATCATGAGTCTGGAAACTGTGGGGTGAATATGAAGAAAAACTATCACCACTTCTAATTTCCTAAAAAAAAAAAAATTCATTGTCTTCTTCCAAGCTTGCATGAGTAATAGCAATGTGTCGCATGAGATCAAACACCTTCAGTAATCAAGGCTTTATTCAACTCATAACTCCATATACATCTGCAACAGAACAAAACCCAATTAAAACAAGAGAATATTTATTTATTTTTTATTTTTGTCTTTAAATTGTCTTGGTGAGATGCTTGCATGATCCAATGTATTGTTATGCTGGGGCACAATTTTGTAAACTAGGTGTTATGATTATTTTCTATCCCAAGCAACAGTTTTTTGGGCAAAGTATGTTAAATTCTTGTTAATTATGCAAGAATTTTCTGGAATGTATTGCCTTTGTAATGGTGATAGTAATGAACAAGGTGACGAAATGGGCACACTCTGAACCAACGTAACTATTATTCCAAATTGGTTGAGTAAATTTTCTGATGAAGCTAATTCTGTAATTGTGTTTAGAAACTAATTAATGAAATTTAATGTGAAGTTTATAATATTTCTTAATTTAGTCATTTTAAAGTGCTTTATAACTTGTAAATGAAGTTTGTTGCAATAACCACATTGCAATGGGTGCTCTGATTAGTTGGTGAGCACATCGATGAGGCATCACTTTGTATCTTAACTGATGAATTATGAAGTTGACACACCAGGCTATGGTCTGGTTTGGAGGTGTGATGAGTTTCCTCACACACACACATGCCATTTCTTTATTGTAAATGGACTGATACAAAATGTTCTTTAATTTAGTAATACCTGTAGTCCTAAATTTCAAATGTATTGCAAGAATTGCCCAGAAATGTTTAATTTCAGAAAATTCAAAGCATCTTGGGATTAACTTTAATGTACATAACCTGTGCAATTGCACCCAGCTTCTTATAATAAGTTGACTACGGCACGCTCATCTTACTAAATTATAACGAACATTTGCCGTCAACATTTTATTCTCAAATTGCCTCAGAAATTGCTGTTAGATAAACGACACATTAAGCTCTGGTTGGCTAGACAATTTATACAGTACTGTATTGCAAAGTCATGCATGTTCATTTTAGATCCAGTACTACATACAATATATTGAATATGTATCTACAAATTCAGATTAATGTTTTCCCTGTGTTAGTACTGTATAGTAATGTCTACCTAATAAGATGGACATAATTCTATAGCTGTACAGTACTTAAAAAACTAGAATACATTTTTAATCAATGAAATGTTAATAGAAATAGACATTAACTCGGTGTTGACGTTTGCTAGTCCATTACACTGAATTAAGTTTGTTTTATTAAGCAACTTTTCCACATATTACTGTTCATGATACCCATTCCTTCACCTTTATTTTATCTGCAAATTTAAAGGTGTTGATTATTGTGGTTTTGGTATAGTTACGGTTTGTTATTGCTAATGCATGCGACTGCTTTCTTGCATTTTGAAGTATATGCTAGAAGTTCTGGTTATTAGAGATGCATGGAACCATAATGTTGAGTTTTGGCCAGAGCTGGAACTTGGGGTGTTACAGCTCTTAAAATTTTGTTAATGAAATTCAGAAATCCTAGTATGGTGCAGCACTATGATGATATTGGTCTGTGTTAAAGTTTTAAAAGTTATTTTGTCATACTAAAGCTACAAATGTGAAGGTGTTATATAGAAATGTGTGAATTTGTCAGTGAGTGCCATTTCCTGTATATTACAGCAAAGTGAATGTCCATAATATAGTACTGTACTAGTAAGCTGAACTAAATAAAACAAAACCACCAAATCAAGGAGGAACTTTATTTGAGTCATAACGAGTAAATAAAGTCAGTCATACGTCAATTTGTCATTACAGTATTAATATATATATTTTTTTAACTGCACTGGTTGTTTGTAGAATTCATTTTACCATAGTGCATATATCACTAGTTTGTTAGTTGCATTTTTTATATAGCATCCTGTTTTACATTTCTTGAATTGCTCAGGTAAGTTTTCTTCCCCCCTTTATTATACACTGTATTGTATAAACAGGAGAGATAGTTGCCTAAATTTTATTGCTGTCTGTTCAAATCATAAAATTTTTAACCGAATATAATTTAATCCTGTAATTGCAGAGGACGAGAAGCCAATTAAGATGGGTGAAGGTGATGAAGAGACTGTGGTCAGGGTCCGTGGGTTACCGTGGTCAGCCACTGTGGAGGATGTTGTTAAATTTTTTGGTGAGTACAGTCTATGCAACCTGTAAATTGTTGAATTAAAGGGACTTAGTGTTGAAAAAAGCAAGAATTTGTGTTAAGGATTTAATTCGATTTTTATGGTGAACAAACTAAAGGTTAAGGCAGGTGCTTTGAATAACTACTATTTCCCTCAGGATTGGATATATTTTCAATGTGTTATACAGCATTGTATTATGTGTGTGTATGTATTTTCCATATTTGTATTGTTAATTTAATTCTTAAAATACACGATAAAAAAGTATCTTGCCACTTTTTTTGTGAAACGGTATGACACCACGTATGAAGGATTTTAAGAACCTCACCATTTTGGAAGATGCTTTTTTGGCTGTGTTGTCATGGAACAGTGTGATCATTAATTTAAATTTCCAGATGGTGTAAATATAAAGAACGGCCGAGATGGTGTTCACCTAACCCTTTCCCGTGAAGGCCGACCCAGTGGGGAGGCCTACGTCGAAGTGTCTTCAGAAGAGGATGTGACGCTGGCGGAGAAGAAACACAATCAACACATGGGCCGAAGATATATTGAAGGCGAGTTTATTTTGTTCTTGGGATTCTGAAATATCTGAATGGGAAAATGTTTTAAAAGAGCTGTATGAAGTGTAAGATCATTTAAATGACTGTCTTGCGATCTTTATCTTCCAGTGTTTAAAGCAAAGAAGTCAGAGATGGAGTGGGTTGTTAAAAGGGCTGGATTTGGTGCATCTGGTGGCGAAGACGACGGCTGTGTCCGCCTTCGTGGGCTGCCATTTGGGTGCTCAAAAGAAGAGATTGCACAGTTCTTCTCTGGTAAATTTTCTTTATTTTGTTGTTTGGTTTTGTAATTAAAGTTCATGAAAATATGGAAATAATAATATTTTTGAGTGAGCAATATCAGTTGTATAATGATTTAGTTCATTAGTCTAATAGTAGCTAAGAAGTTTATGCTTGTGAGAAAACTGGGGGATCATAGCAGTGGAATACTATAGGGTTGGGTAGACTGACTGAGTGTTTAGAATATAATTGATCTTTTTATGCGAATCCAGAATTATTCTAAACAAAGATTATTATATAAATACTTAGGATCAGAATTATTTTTTTTACTTGTCAGGAAGTACTTTACTGATTCATCTTAATGTACTGGGCTGTAAATGTTTGAATCCTTAACTTGATCGACATATTGTAATTTTAAATATTTTTTTAATTCAGCTGTTAAACTTGAGTATAAGTCTTTAGTATTTTGACTTAACATTAAACATGATTATTATGTGACTAAATTATTCAAGAAAAATGTTTGGGAATAAATTAACTAGTACAGTATATAGATAGTCAAGAGCTAATTTAATTAAAGATAAAATGGCTATTATAGTAAATACTTAACGATTACAAAAGTGATTCATTTAGGAAACTCATAAGTATTTGGCTTGGTGTTTCATGTTTGTTAATCCTTTGATCATGGGGAATTTTACATGTAGGTGTTTAGTTAAATGTCCAGGGTTAGTGGAATGATGTTTTGGGAATATATATACAGTACATATAAATTTAATGTTTTATGTTTGGATTTTGTACTCAGGGGAGGCATATTGTGTCCCATTAATTAGGGAAAGAAAGTTCCAGTTTGATCATAAGCTTAGTTTTTACTGTTTAAGTTTAAATCTGGTTATGAAGTCAGTATTTATATAAGTCCTATAATAATATAGTTGCTATTTTTTTCTTAACATTATTCTCTCTCAATGTCGCTGGGTAGGGTTGGAGATAGTTCCGAACGGGATAGCTCTGCCTACCGACTACCAGGGGCGGCATACGGGGGAGGCATACGTTCAGTTTATAAACAAAGAGGTCGCTGAAAAGTCCCTTGAGAAGCATAAGGAAAAAATAGCGCACAGGTGGGAAGGCAACGCTGCAAAGGAATGATGTTGCACTCAGGTTACCAGTATATACAGGATGTGGGGAGGTTTGTGGTCAAGTTTCATACTATCAGTACTTTACTTCCTGATTGTCCTTTGCCTTCTGAAATCAAAGGCACTAAAAAGTGATATCAGGTATATCTAGATTTGCTTGACAATGGTAGACATGGCAAGTGAAGGTTATGTCTGGTGAGTTTTAAATGAAATTTGAAGCAAATCTACCCAATAGCACCTGGAAGGGACGTAGCTGGCTACTGGTGGAGAGGCAGGGAGGGAGGGAGTTTCTTCCCAGGATGTTTTCCTTGCATTTACTGGCTCGGGTTTAGGGCCTTACCTATCAGTGAGAATAACAGGTTTGCATGATCTATTTAAATAAGAATATCAATAAAGGCAAGGAATATCCAATGTCCCCTTGGAGAATGGTACCCATTTTATTTGAATTTTATATGATGCCATGAAGCAAAGGATTTTGTTATTTTTTACTTTATTTTTGTTTTTGTTTATTTTTTATTAAAAGCATTAAATATAATATGCAGGGTAGCATTCTCTATCCCAGAAACCAAACCCCAGTTTACTTAAGTTGCTGAATAAGGGAGGACAGTTCAGGGTAGGAAATGGTACAGTTTCACATCCCAAGCAGTACTCCCAAAAACAGCCATTAGTGGGTAAGGGTCTGTCGTATTTTAGTTTAACTATTAATGGGACTTCCAGTTTCCTTCCAATTTCCGTTTTCAGTCAGTGCATGAAGGTAAGGAATCCTTAACATTAACTTTATAATGCTACATGAATATGGATTTTCTGACTTTATAGTAGAAGTTTGCTGAAGGAAGTCCCAAGATATTCTTGAGCTTGACTGTATGTTAGTTTATAAGAAAAGTCAAGAAGGGTACTTCAAGGTGAAGATGGCAGCAGAGAAGCAGTGAACCCCTGGTGGGCGGGAGGGCAAGCGGTGAGTCAGGTAGGCAGAGGAGGCAGTCGGGCGGTGGGCCTGGGCTGGAGCTGGTGGGCCGGGCTGGGCCACTGTTGGGCTGGCCGGGAAGGAGCGGGAGGAGACACTGGGCCGGGACACGGGCACGGGCTGGTGGGGCCGGGCCTGGGACTCGGACTATCCACACTGTCGGTAACGGTTACAAACTTTTTAGATTATGCAGTTGATTGATTAATAACATGTGTACATAAATTTGGAATTCATTCAGTCTTAAGATATTCAATTTGGTTTTACAAAGAAATATTCATAACCTTGAATTCACAGAAGTGGTGATGGAATATGGTGTGCTGTCAGTAGAACAAAGACAATATTTTTAAGTAAGATCAGAATATGAATTTGAACCAAACTCGTCTAGAATTTTACACCCTTAATAGAGGTACATATTCTGCTAGAGCAAATGTTTGTCCTTGCAGATGGTTCCCCCATACTGGAGGCATAAGACTGCCTGGCTATTTTAATTTCCTGAGAAAGAGTTCCTTTTGGTACAATGGTTTGTTAACACCATAGCATCCACTGAAAGCTGTTATATTTGGCCTAACTCTAAAATGCCTTTGTTTTATGTATTAGACAAAACACCTCTGTTGATTCTCAAAAAAAATAAATCCATGTTTCATAGACTTTGCTTAGAATTTGGATTCTTGCTTTAGTTGGTCAAGAGAAGGCTCCCATCGAGTTGCCTGAGAAGATTTCAAGGTGAATTCATTTCCTTGTATTTCCCAACAGATACATCGAGATCTTCCGTAGTAACCTAGGAGAGGTGCGTGCTGCTATGAGCCCCAAGATGCGTGGACCTGGTGGTCCCATGGGTGGTTACAACAACAGACCTACTCCGTACGATTCGCGTGATCGGTTCGGAGGCATGAACCGTTACAGTCTGGGAGGACGTGGTCGAACTCGTAAGTTTACACCAGTGTTTTTATGATATTGTCTTCCTGTACTTTGACCAATTATTTATTCTTATGGTATGTTAACATATATGGTAGAACAGAATGCTTATATCTACTTAATCGATGTATATATATATATATATATATATATATATATATATATATATATATATATATATATATATATATATATATATATATATATATATATATATATATATATATATATATATATATATATATAAACAATTGGCTTACCTCTAGAGCAGTCCATTAGTAACATGATGTAGATTTTGCCTCTGAAGGTGGTTATAACGACTACGACGATGGCCCTGGATGGGGTGGATCTGGTGGCTACAATGATGGACCAAGCAGTTGGCTGAGTGGACGCGGCGGACGTGGTGGTGGTCCGGGCGGCCTCAAAGTAAACACGGTGTTTTTTAAGAGTAACTAAAATATATCACTTATTGCATAAATATTTATATAAGAACTGGATTTGGGGAGATACCGCATTAAATATTGTTGTGTTTTGTTTTAGGGCAACTTTGGTGGTGGCCGTGGAGGGAGTTGGAACAATGGTACTGGTCACTGTGTGCACATGAGAGGTCTTCCGTTCCGTGCGACCGAGATGGATATAGCTGATGTAAGTTTAGGCTTTTCTTCATATATATACACATGTATCATATACCTACCTAAATACAGTCATCCTTAATGTGCTTTTTTATTTGTGCAAGGTTGAGACTGCAGAACATTTAATACCATGGGACCTTTGAGATTCTTAGTAAAATTGGGGGGAAAAATATGGGAGTTATCTTGGGTGGGGAGGTAGTTGTACTGGGCTGGCTCTCTATTATTCCAGGGCAAGAATTCTCACTAAGGAGTCTTGTCATTGATATCCATTGTGAGCGAGTAATATTGGTTTAACCATATCCTACTGGCTTAAAATAAAAGCTACTGGTTCTCAGATATCCCAGCCATAGATTTAAGTACTTTCCCAACTTCTTGTATGTGATGCCGGCCCTGTATGGCAGTCATGTGTTCCTTCCTTAATCTACCAAAAAGTTAAAATTGGGTAGTTTTTTTTATGGTGAATTTGTAATTGGCATCGGATTTAATACAAGGCTGATTATCAGGACAGTATTTTAGTGGCTATGCTTTTCTCTTCCACAGTTCTTCAGACCCCTCAACCCTGTCAATATCAACATCATCATGGATAGTTCTAATCGTCCCTCGGGTGAAGCAGATATTGAATTTGCAACACACGATGATGCTGTTAAGGCTATGTCCAAGGTGTGTGACCCACCATAATTTGGCTTTAGTATACAAAAAATAATCAACAAATAGCATTCTTGTATACAGTCATTAATCATGAAGGTACTCCACAACAAAAGTATAATGCACATGTTCATATCTTCTTTTGCAGGATAAGGCCAACATGCAGCACCGCTATATTGAGCTTTTCCTGAACTCCACCCCAGGTGGAAATATGGGTGGACCTGGTGGACCCATGGGAGGCCCAGTAGGCCCTATGGGTGGACCGGGCTCTGGTAACTTTGGAGGTGGCGGAGGCGGAAACTTCAGCGGTGGCAACATGGGCGGCGGGTTTGGTGGGGGATATGGGGGGGGCAGCCGTATGGGGGGAGGTAGGTACGTCGCATTCGCACCATTTACCGTAAGTAAGGAAACATGGGCATCTTAATGGATATGTGGATTTAGAGTGGTTAGGAATTTTATTGCAGTTCATTTATTTGCCTGTCTTCTTATTTTATGGAAAGAGTCAACCGGTGATATAGTAGCCTTTAATTGTAATTTTAAAAGGGATTTTTAATTTTGTGGTGTTACTGGATAATTGCATTAACTTAAAGATTTCAACTTTTTCTCAGGCTTAGTGAACCCTTGGAGCTGACATCCAAGTAGATTATTTATTTTAGGAGAACTTGTTAAGGAGTAGGCTATGTAGGGTATATGAAAGTCAAGATAAATATAAAATGATGAAAGACTTAGCTACTTGGTAAGATTAGATGGCAGGATAAACCAGGGAGCTCATTTGTTCATGATGGTCTTGTTTATGTATTGGTTGTTCATTTATGTTTGAAGATGGTAAATGCATTTTTCTAATTTAAACTGTAGAATAAGTTTAAAGCAAAATCGGTCTGATATCTGTGTTAGTAATTAATAGAACAGTGGTGATAAATTCCTTGAAACTAATGTAGCCAAAGAATTCAGCAAGACTACTGGTTTTATCGGTGGTTCAAATGCCCATAATATAATACAGTAAATGAAAAATTGAAACAAGTTAGCTGTTGTAGGCTTTAATATCTTATTTTTCATGCATAGTACTCATTTTCATTATCTTGCACAGTACATACAGTATAGGAGTTTTCAGGGTGTAGGACTGACATACACAGATAAATATATAATGGAGGAAATATAGAAATTGAATGTGGTGGAAATGTGTTAGGGAATCTGCTGTTTGTGTTTAGTACATTACATTGCACTATTATGCATTTACAATAGAAAATTTGGGCAAGAGTCATAACTGATCCATTCTTCTGGAGGACAAAGTCTTATTTGTTGTGGAGTATTTTGGTGGGGAGAGGGTGAGGGCTGCTTGTGGGTGAAAAATTAAGAGGTTCAGGTTTATTGAGCTCTGCAGTGGATATGAAAATTACAATACATATCACTTTTCAGTGGGTTAAATGTAAAACTGTGTATGGATGTGCTAAATGTACAGGTTATCTCAACCCTTAACAATTGAGGTTGTAAATTGTGGTGGTGTGTAGGATTGACTGTTGTAATATAGTTATACTGAAGTGATTGAACATTGATGTACCAGAAATTGAAGGGAAACTCGGGTGGTTCACAATATTTTCTTCTGTCATTCCACAAACAAGTATATTAGAAGTAGAACCAGAAAAAATCAAATATGGCTGATATCAGTCATAGGTGTTAAAACTAATGTTTGTATTTTAAATAGTCACAGAAATAAAAAATAAGAGGTACAATAACTCTAAGTATAATACTGTAGGGTAATTTATTAAAAGTATTTAACATTGTGAGTTGAGTACAAGTAGAATATGGTTCCTCTGATAGGGAGTTTATGGCCAGATCAGCCCCATGGACCAAAGATGCTAAAACCTTCCTAATTACTAGTGAGTGTGTAGTGGGGATTCTTAAAGTTCCTGTTCAGAAGGGGTGATTTTGAGAAGTCTCCAGGGGCAAAAAGCTGCATTTTACATTAATGTAGAAAAGTATGATTATCTCAACCTTCAATGTAGGCAATAACCAACCTCTTAACACCTCCGTTACGTTCACACTTCACACGAACCTTTACGTATGTGTTCATCCATTGTATATTCCTGGTATGTACGTACAGTACTTCCTTTCTGACAACTCGTATGTAGCTGTAAGGCAACTGATTCTGCCATAGTTCTCAATCTAGTCATTACATACCTCAACCAATCATCCTCACTGCTCTCCTCAGAAAATCAAATTGTTCCCTCCTCCTTACCATTGGGTTCCCTTAACATTTTTCCCATCCATCACTTCATTCTTGTTTCTCCTCATTCATCATCCTCTTGGTAGTTGTGTGTGTTTTCCAATTACAGTACATGTACTAGTATCAGGAAGAGAGTTATTTAATATGTAGGAATGTAATTAGAGTTTGTGAAGTGAAGGGGGTGGTCTGGTCTTTCTGAGAGTACAAGTGGTGTGTAAAAAAGAGTGGGTTAAATTGAGTACATACAGTATGCATAGGATTAACAGCTGTTAACTCTTTTGGGGGGGGGGAAGGATTCTGAACCAAATGTTTAAATGGGGAATAGAAAAGTAGATGAAACAGTAAAATACACAGATGGAAAGATTGTAAATTGTTGAAGATTGCAGATGGGAAATGGCCATGCCCACTTTTTTTCTATATACTTGTTCAAATAATTTGTATTATGGTTATTCAATTTTGAACTTTTCAATTTTCAAGGAGGATTAAAGATACATTAATGATTGTCATTGAAGAACAAGATAAAACCTATTGTCAGTGTTGTTCAATACAAGTGGTGCATTTAAAGAACAAGGAATTTGTCATAGTTTGAGTTTGGAAAACCACCCAGAGTAAACATTTCCTTTACATTTGTTCAAAGGTTAGAATATGTAGTCATGATACATAGGCATCTAAATTGGACAAAAGTTATTTTCTTAATGGGGTATTATTATTTTGACTACGAATGTGACCTTCTCAGGTATTGATTTAGGTAGAGAGGTTTTTTAATATTGGCTTTGTGGTAAAGGGTTCCTATAGTTTACCTTTAGAGTCGAATGTCAGAGAGGTTTTTTTTTTTTTGTATGTTTCCATATTATGGTTAAATGATTTAAACTACAGATTATGCTTTGATATTATTACCAAATATATATTGCATCAAGATTTAAAAGATGAGAATATTTAGTGCATTATCATTAGTATGAAGCAGATAAGTGTATTGTTAAGTCACTTGTGAGTATGCAGGTGAGAAGATAATGAATTATAAGAGAACCTGCATTTTCTTGTTACTAATAAATCTTTATTGTCTTTTCAGGTGGTAGTGGATACGGAAGTGGCATGGGTGGAGGCGGCGGAGGCTACAGCTCCCTAGATGAAGGACTGGGTAGTGGAATGGGCAGCGGCGGTGGTGGAGGAGGAGGAGGAATGGGCGGCGGTGGCAGCGAATGGGTGGTGGTAGTGGAGGCGGAATGGGTGGTGGTAGTGGAGGCGGAATGGGTGGCGGCGGCGGCGGAATGGGTGGCGGCGGCAGCGGAATGGGCGGAATAGGCAGTGGCATGGGAGGAGGAAGTATGGGTGGTGGAGGAGGAGGAGGAGGAGGAGGAATAGGAGGCATGGGAAGCAGCCTCGGTGGAGGACTAGGTGGTGGTCTCTCCAGTAGTCTGAGTCGGGGAATGGGCAGTGGACTAGGCAGTGGATTGGGCAGTGGTATGGGAAGTGGCAGTGGAGGAGGACTGGGAGGTGGTAGCGGAGGAATGGGAGGCGGCGGCGGCGGCAGCGGCTTCAGTAGCGGCTTCAACAACGGCTTCAACTCTAACAACGGATTCGGCCCTGGCGACCAGATGTCGGGAAGCAACTACAACAGTTTCTGTTAAGAAACTTGAATCTCCTGGAAGGATACTTCACAGATGAGGGAATGTACTTTCGAGTTTGATATGCAGTGAATAAAGACTATTCATAAAGTGAAATCATGTTTTGAGTTATGAAAGTGTTATTTTTTATTTTTTTGTTTAAATGTGACCTATGTGACTTTTCTCTAGAATGGTAGTTTGAGGACCTACACAAGAACGGTAGTGTGCTTTTGGAAAAAAAATATGTACTATTTTGGCTACGTTATATGTGGCAAGTCATTGTAGTACATAATTATTATATTTATCTAGTTTACTGGTGTGCCCCTGTCATAAAAGTAGAAACAATTGTTGACTGGTACCTGTCCTGCTGTGAGCTAGAACAAGTATTATTTTTCATGTGATTGAATATCTGGTTTGACATTCCATTTGAAAAGATGTTTGATGAATAAACCATAAATTGTGACAGATGGGACAAATACAAATGTAATTTTAGATTTACTTTTAAGGCGTCAATAAACAACCTTATCCTACATGTGTTTCGATTTATTCCTTTATGAATTTGACTTGGGTAATGAGAGCCTTAAAGGACATAGTAAAATAAAACAATGGTCATACAGTATGGTGACAATGAGAATGAATAAATGAACCAGAAAAGTTCCATGGACAAGTAGAATAAAAGCAAACCACCACAAAAAATAAGTTACACGGGAATCAGGAACCATGTAAGGTTATATGCAGCACCATTGAAGTATGGTAGAACAATTAGATGGGTTACGCAATGTGAAATCTAATTGTAAAGTGACGAAATCGTTTGGGTTGGGCGTCGTTATCGCTGCCGTCACCCATAATGCATTGCGATATTGTCAGCCATATTGGATCACGGCGGACGATGGCTGGCTGAATTAATCCCTTAAATCTGTGAACATCGTCGGTCTGCAGTGTGATTTACCTATATAGAATTGTTGGTAGATATTTTGGACATATTTCAAGAGAAAGAAGATCAATATAGCACCAAGGAATTATCATCATGAGCTTCCTCTTGTAAGTCCACCTACGGTTTGTTATGGTCGATCAGCTGATTCAGGGGGAATGTTGGTGAACGGTATAGACGTTTACCTATATATAGAATTAAATAACTCTGTCCTCCAAATATGTTAAGATTTTGAAGTCTATATGCTATTTACAATCAACTCTGATAATTTGGTTACTAAATGCCGTGTTGAAGTATGCGGGTTGTTAATAATGGAAGAACGGAAACCTTGTCAACATCCGAGATAAACCATGAATTTAGGAGTTTACTCAGATTGTGTCACATTTGGTGGGTTTCTAGAGATGAAAGTTGATATTCGCTTGATAGACATCTAAGGATTGATTTATTAGCTAAATCCAGGCAAGGCATTATGCACCATTAAAAGTTTCCTATTAGGGTCATTGTATACTGCAGAGAAAAACATGAGGGAATGTTAGCCAGTCTACAGGTTTTGTATATACCGGTATGTGCAGGACTGTTCACCATTTAATTCATTAATTGTCACATAGATTCACAACAATTGGCAGTTTTTTCGCCTTGTTGCAGTAAATTCTTTTGGGGAGAGACTTGTTTTTAGTTTACTGTAAATACTGTATAAAGTAACAAAAGCATTCTAGGGACAAAATAGTGAATTTAAATAAAGCTTGTCATGTAATACTTGCACATATTGTCTGAAAGTATATTCATGCAGTGTAGAGTGAATGTTTACGGTTGAAGCTTCAGGCATTCTTAGATGTGTATTATTGAATACCTTCAGCATGTACTACCTGGTACTGTACACTGTACTGTATAGTTGTCAAGCATCAGTAGCTTAGATGTCCTTTAGTCTTGCTTCTGTAATATATTTTTGTTCCTCTGTAGCTTTTATTCTCATTAAAGTTTGGTTTAATGCATAGATTGAAAATTCGGTTGGGAAGCAAGAAAGGGTCATTTTTGTATTTATATAAGAAAATAAAATAGTGGTTAGCTTTAGGGTACAACTAGGAAGTGGTCTCCCTAGAGGCTGAACCCATGACTGTTACTACAGATACAAGGGAAGACAGTACAGTATACCCAGATGAGTATCAAACCCAAGTCACAGTTTTGACAGACAAGCACGCTACTGTTATACCACAGACACACAATGATGTTGCTTTTAGTAGGCGTCAACCACTGAGCTGTGTGAGCAATGTATACTTGATGCAGGATTGGTCCTGCTGGAAGCTTGGAGGCCATGGTCAAATTGCCACCTTTTAAAGTAATTTTTTTTATGTTCCCTATTAGATGCTAGTTTAATTGATATATCATTTTACCACTATGTTGTCCAGTGCAATCTATTGTTAAGCTGTTAATAACGCTGTGGGCCTAAAACATCCATATATTACACCATATGTGAAATGGATTTTGTTTTTATACCGTAAAGGATAAGGAAATGGATACCTTCTTATTTCAGTAAGGTGGGAAGGAGCCATGTTTGTCTACTTCCTTCTATTCACAAAAAGAAGACTAACCAACCAACCTAAGTACCTATTGTAACCTAAAATAGATAACACAATCAAATATTTCAATCCTAGGAAGTAAGGTCAGGTCAGGTAGAACTAGTTGGTGTATCTTATCAAAAAATATAATTTATGTGGCTGTGGGAGAAAAGTCTACACTGTTTGGACATGAAACGCCACTTAGGCAAAAGTCACCGAACTATTAATACGAAAATTGCCGTAAATCCTTGTTGTTTTTGGGTATACAATTTTAGTAATGTTATTGCTGTACAGTAGCTATTATGTAAATAATATAAGCTGCTACCATTTAACATAAGTGTTAATGTCTATGAAGCAGTGTTTATCTCTTTCACCATGGATAAACAAGTAATGGCAGCTTCTCTGATAGCTCCTTCCATTGTGGAGAAGTGTGTTGAGAATGACAAAATTGGAAAACCAAAAGTAGGAAAGTTGCAATTCCTTCACTCATTTCTTTCTATTCACGAGGTAAAAATAAAAGTTTGATTCTGTAGAGATTATTCCAGAGTCCGAGATCTCAGAAGTTATTGTTTCAATTAACAATGAAATTTGGTGTGAAAGAAAGAAAATATGGATTATATATTGGGACAGTGCTTGAAGATTAGGCCCCAGCTTATATTACCTGATTAAACACCCTAATGGGGGGATTAAATAACATTAGATTAGTTTAGGTGGTTAAGCCTAAGGTTTGTGGTGTAATGGTTTGCATGCTCGCCTCACAAGCGAGTAGACCCGGGCAGGGTGAAACTATGGGCAAGTTTCTTTATTCCATTTGCCTCTGTCTACCTAGCAGTATTGCACTGTATTGGAATTGGCAATTTGTCTAGTCTCCTCAGATCATTTTTTGCCACTGGGTCATACTGCTTGTTAACTTGGGATATGGTTGTTGTGTTAGCAACAGGTTTTGCATCTAAGGCCTAAATAAATTCACGCCCAGGTAGCCATGGGGCCAGCCAGTTTCAAACATGAGGGGCAACCATTATTATTATATTATAATCTTAAGATGAAGTAAACTGAGGTGTCTAATCTTCATGTAACTGAGAAAAAATAAACAAGTACACTACTGTATAAAGTTATAAAAACTACAGTATGAACAGTACATAGAGTTTTCGTACAAAGTGCCGCCTTTGAGGGAGAATGTGGCCAAACCATTAATGATCATAGGCAACTTGAACCAACCACAGTTAATGATCTTAAGAGTGATTATTAAACAGGTTAGGTTGGTACACTGTAAGGTTGGGTCAAACTGTCTACCTACAATAATGATTTTACGCTGCAGTTTGCCTGAGTGATCATAGCTCATAAGGTGGTGATCAGGAGCAAAGAGGATAAAGTAAAGTTTAGCTTTTTCTCCAACTGAATTAGTATTCTATAAATTAAAACTAAAATTTACAAGATCATATAGAAAACCAGGAAATAAGAATACTGTATGTCTGTCTTTGTAACCTATAGGAAAAATGATACACAAAGTTGCTGTAGGATGGTTAGGGAGTTAAAATTTAGAAATAATTTTAATGTGTTTATAAGGCTACTGGTACAGATATCCTCAGCTGCACTGTTCCTGTTAGAGCTGAGATGTATGGTATATTGAGCTCTGTAGGGAAATGAGAACATCAACAGATTTAAATGTTGTTATAATGTATACCATACTGTATATAACTAATGGTCATATTTCCACACCCAGTTCAAACATGAATTAGAACATTCCTCCCCCCCTCCCCCTTTCTTTCTCTCTCTTTCTCTTGTTCTCTCTCTTGCTCTCTTTTTACACACACACACACACTTTTTCTGTCTCATTTACAGTATTGTACTTGGTAAGAATCTCTCACTCTTTTTCACCTGTCTGTCTGTCCATCTGTCTGTCTGTCTGTCTGTCTGTCACCCTCTCATCTGTCTTTCTTGGTCTGTTTATCCAGTTACACTAAAACACAACAGTAGAAGAGGATTGTGGCAGCATACTCAGTTAGGATGGTACTGTACTACTGAACACGTGCTGTACACCGTAGTTGGCGGAGACACAGCATGCCTGGGATGCCTCACAGTTTCAGGGCATTGGTTGTGTCCTTTCTTTGTTTGGTATTCAACAACATTGACTTTAAGAGTACTGTACTGTTCTTTTTTATTATTATTTTTGTTTGTGTCTGCAGATCACCTGAAAATTAGACACCACCAGTTTATTCCACCTGATGATGAAACACCCTAGCCTAACCTAACCTAACTTACCCTATATATACTATCCTACTTTAATCTATCCAATCATAACCTACTTTAACTTATCCTAATCTAACTTTCCCTCCTTAACTAACCCGGCCTAACCTGAATTAAAATCTATCCTAATCCTTCTGGTAGCAATAAACTTGGATGTCTAACCTTCAGGCGATCCTTGCATTCTCTCTCTCTTTTATTTTTTTAGACATTTAGCTTTATCATGTTACTTTGTCTTTTGTGCTGTACCTTGAAGAAGAAAGTGACAGCAACACACAAAAGCAATGTAGTGTACTGTACTGTGCAGAATAATGAGAGTTTTGTTGTACAGTAGTATTTCTGAAGTAGGGGCATACTTTTGTTTAATTTTTTATACTCTACCAATGATTTGTTCTGATTATTACAGTATTGAGGTGTCCATTTTAAGTAATTATTCAAGTGTTTTTGGTCATCAGTTTATATTCCTACTGATTTTTAGGTTCCATTTTATTGCACTTCCAAAAATATAGTATGTGTACAGTAATCATTTTGAGTTATTGAAGGAGAAAATACACCAGTTTAAGGAACTATTGAGTGAGATTTAACAGTGCTACAAGATTGTATTTAATTATAAAACAGTACAATACAGTACTATAGGGGAGTTATTGTTTTTATATAAATTGATAATTGAAGTTATGAAACACTGGTACTGTATACTGCAGGTGCAAAGGAAATACTGTACTGTAAACTACACTGTAAGAATCCCAAAACTTAGTATTCTGCGCAAAAGGTCTGGAGACAGTAAGCATACCTTGAGTGCTACATTCACTGGGCTACCACGTTGGGCCAAGTATGTTGTCAGTTGAAATTTGGTTGTAGCTGAGGATAGTTGTGCTGCTCAGAGCTACCAGTACAGTATAGTACTGAGGTCCAGTTTTTTGAAATGTTCGTTTTGTGGGGAATTACTCATAAACTCAACCGACGGGGAAGTAGGAGAATTATAGTGACCATAACACCAATTGGGTCAGAAAGGTATGTTGATTCCAAAGATTATTCTGTGTTCTTAAATACTGCATCATTCACATTATTTCAGAAAATATAGAACCGGTCATGTTATGTAAAAAAAAAAAGTGGGTAATTGTGACAGCTGATGTTTGTGGTTTTATATATATATATATATATATATATATATATATATATATATATATATATATATATATACAGTACCCTACAGTATTTCCTGTTTGTTTGTTTTTAAGGTCAGGTATGCCATATGTGTCGAGGAAGAACATTGAGTCTGGTTGAATACTAAGAGTGGCACAGTATTATGATCTCTTGAGTTTAGTTGGGTAAAAAATTTTATTGAAAAAAATACCATTATCTAGCTTCATTTAGTGTTTTGCTACCACAAATACTGAAGTTCTTGATCTTTAGAACGAAGTGAAGATCTGAATGCTCTATCTTATAATAATATTTGTTTCTTATATGTTAAAAAAATATATATACGTATAATAAAAATTTAACTAATACAGTCCAGTACTTCTTGAAAAATATTATTGTTTCTGATCTCGTGAAGTTTTCCTTTTCATAATTTTAATTTATAAATCTTAGGGTAAAAACAGGGGTTGAGGGAGTATAAAATGGAGAAGTATGTGAACTATGCATCAAAACACAAATACTCCTGTAGCAGTGCCAAGTGTCAACCATTCTTGTCTCATGCTTTCCTGGTTGAAAAGCTGATAATTTTAGAAGAGACTTGTGTTACTTCACTTGATTGTTTTTAAGCAGGTTTTCCCCCCTGGTTTACCTTTTAATCTTTCTAGACTTTCATATGTACTGTACACTGCATACCTGCATTGTCTATACATATACATGGTGAACTGTACACCTTCACCTGCACTCTCTATACACATGATTAACTGTACATACTGTATCTGCATTGTTTAGACACATGCTGAACTGTACACCAGTAGAATATTATGTACGTACAGTACTGTACTGGATATAATGTAAACTTGTACAGAGTATGATGATTTTAGTGAACATATACTGTACAGTACTATACATTATTATTATTATTATATTATTATTATTATTATTATTATTATTATTATTATTATTATTATTATTATTGAGTTTTGGGGCTAATAAGTATGTTATTACAGCAATAACTTGCACAGTTGAAGAATCTGTGATAAGACAGTTTATTATTTTTGTCGTAATAATACAAGAGCACACAGCTGCTGGCCAAAATGCTGTACTGTGCAAAGTGTCAGCTGTTATATACAGTACTGTACAGTATTATAATTACTGTACAGTAATAATATGGCATGATATGTTAAGTTTTTGCACAATGCCTCAGCAATGTCGAGCAAAGTCCACTCATATCTCCTGGTGTTATCATCTGCCCCCCCAATACACCTGTAAGTTTAATAAGATTTCACTGTATAGAACAGTATACTGTACTGTAGTATGTTATGTTATGACATAAGATTGATTGTTTGTGATCTTTTTTAAATATCATTACATTACTGTATTACCATACAATCTTTGGGTGTATTTTTTATAGAAAAGTAAGTTGCAATTTGCAGTAAGGGGAACTTTCTACATATGCAAACAGGTGTGTGCCCAATATAGCTTGTGCACATGAGGTTGTATATGGCAGGTAAGAGTGAATTAATGTGTAAATTTATCACTAGAAACATAGTTTTACAGCAGACTTTTTAGTTTCACATCATCAAGGTATATCTCAATACAGTACATTACTGTATAGTAAGTAAGTTGGTGAAGTATGCTTCATACTTAATTCCATAGTTGTCACTTAATGTAATATTTTATGTTAACAACTAATACTTTTAAGGATTTCTTATTGTTTCAGCACTCTGGATTATCATGAGCAGGAACACCATATGGACATCATATAGGTTCATTGAAAGCATCAGGCTTATGCTTTCATTATTTTCTTTACAGGCAACATTGATTATCTTGATGTTCCCTCTTAATGTTGGTAATGTTGGTACAGTAAAGTGTTGGTGAGCTGTTACCATGTCTAGTGACGATTTTGATTATGACGAGTAAGTACTACTCCCAGTCCTCCAGTAATGTCTAGCTGGACGCAGCCAGGTTGTTTGGTCTCAACTGCTGTATGCCCGTCATGACTTGGGTCTAAGGGATGATACATTCTAACTGTAAAATTGTGTCTGTTTTTAAGATAATGCATAAGCTCTTATGACTTGTAACTATGGTACACTATCTTTATCAGTAGTACAGAATGTAAACAATAACTTGTAAATTAACAGATATGAAAGTATATTAATGTTTATTTGGTTATGACATGTTGGTAGGAAATATAACTATCGATTTCATGATATTTTGTCATAATGTTCCGTAAACACAGTCACTGTATTCAAGAACTAATTGTATCTCAGTCTGTTAATTCCCTTATACCCAAGTTACTAAAAAACCAGGCTTACTCTGAGCACCCTCGACCGCAAGCTTAGGAGGACGCTACTACCCTGTATGCGTTATTTATGTTCGTATCACCTGCGCAGACAGTCTTTTGCACCCTGATATCACCATTGAGACTAAACATCTCTGATTATAAAATATGAAATGAAGAAGGGTATGGACTATACTATCGTACTTAGGGTTGTTATGTTTTATTTTGAGAAACTGTCCACCGAATATCACTAGCTCTCTGTGGTAATAACAAAGACTTGAAATTTTGCCTCTAAAATAGTTTCCATTGTACAGTACCTTTTTAATATAAGAATTTGATCTATAATCCATCTAGTGACCTTATGCCCTGTTATCGAGCACTTGGTGATATATTGGAGAGGAGTTTCTTCTGTTCTGTCTCTCTGTTCTTATCAAGTTGCTCTTGCAGGATTTTATGTGATAAAATGCTGCAATAACTACTCTACTATCTGTCGGTGGAGGGCAAGCCTGGGAGTTTGTAGGAGTCATACAGTTGTTTCTGGTTGGAGGGATGAAGGTTTTTAAGTGTCGATAAAACACTTTAATGATTGTACAGTACATTTTTTTTTATTTACCTGGTAATTGAAGTTTAGATATAAATTCTTATGTAGACGTTACTCATATATTGTTATACTCTATATGACTTTTAGCTGAATTGCAGTAAGTATTTCTGGATGGTTAGCTCAGCATTAATTATTTAACTAGATAATATATATTTTTAAAACAGGCAGCATTCATAATCTTTAAACAGGCAACATTCATAATCTTTAAACAGGCAACATTCATAATCTTTAAACAGGCAACATTCATAAACTTTAAACAGGCAACATTCATAATCTTTAAACAGGCAACATTCGTAATCTTTAAACCGGCAACATTCATAATCTTTAAACCGGCAACATTCATAATCTTTAAACAGGTAACATTCATAATCTTTAAACAGGCAACATTCATTATCTTTAAACAGGCAACATTCATAATCTTTAAACAGGCAACATTCATAATCTTTAAACAGGCAACATTCGTAATCTTTAAACAGGTAACATTCATAATCTTAAGACAGATAACATTCACAATTTAAACAGGTAACATTCATAATCTTAAGACAGGCAACATTCATAATCTTAAGACAGGCAACATTCATAATCTTAAGACTGGCAACATTCATAATCTTTAAACAGGCAACATTCACATTGTTTAAATCTTTGCTTGCTGCATAAAGTAAGAGCCGCTACACATTACATGCAGTACATATAAAAAATGGTCACATTAGTTTCTTCAATAGCTGTTAGTAATTGGCACATGTTTCATAATTACACCGGTCTTGATATACGGTAGTGTAATTTTAAGTTGCTAATGAGTTAGAAATACAGTAAATTGGTTGAAAAAAGAAGAAAAGTTTTGTATATATATATATATATATATATATATATATATATATATATATATATATATATATATATATATATATATATATATATATATATATATATATATATATATATATATATATATATATATATATATATATATATATATATATTTTTTTTTTTTTTTTTTTTTATATAAAGGCTGTGTCGCTTAATATGTCAGCCAGTCATCTTGAAGGAAATTTAAGTTCACATTAGTCTTTGAAAATGTTTAGCATATATTTTAAGCGCTTGCATCAATGACTCAAGAATGTGCTGGTACATTTAGGTATACCTGTACTGTACACTACAATTTCAACTTAGCTGTACAGTATATAGGATGGAAAAATGCCATTACTGCACCATCCTGTGATAAGGAATGACATTGGTATCTCCTATTGTGTATTATTCTTGAAGGCTAAGTGGACAAAATTCTTCTGTTGTGATGTAAAGTATTTTTTATGATTTCATTCTATATGGTAGTGGCATTCATTATACAGTACAGTACTGTACATGTATTGTAAATTAGAGTGTTGGAACACTTTAATCTTTTCATTTTCAACCCTTTCTACAAAGCTGGAGCTGTGAGAGAAATGGCTGTAATTTATGGGTGAGGTACTTTTGGTACTGTACATAGTTTTTGTACAGCTCTACTCAGTGAAGGATGATATGATGTTTTAGATTCATTGACTAGTGAATCAGTGAACTGTAAGATTCCCAACTGTAATAACTCCTAGTTATATTGGCTGTATTTAAGGGGCACTGACTTATGGATCTATTTATTTTTATGTTGAGTAATGCCTCTCCTGTTGACCCAGTGAGGGCTCTCCATTTACCTAAAACCTCTCCATGAAAGATTTTTTCCACACTGAGTATCCCAGCAAATCATTTATATACAGTACTTCTGATAGTTCCGTAAAGGCCTTTGGATTTCCCTTTAAAATGAGAGGAAAACATTGTAACTGGAAGAGTTTTTTCTTCATTTTGAAAGTTAAGACTTACTGAAGATCCGAGTGAATTGGTAAGGATCCTGTACAGTACATCAGTGGAGGTGGATAATGTACCCAATCAAGGTTTGGTCTTTCTTGTTGGATTGTATTCATTCTATACTTGTTATCAGCAATAGAATTAAAAAGCCATTGCAGATTAAGAATAACTATAACCTGTCAAAGCATTGGGAACCTGGAGAAATCTGGACACAGTGATACAGTATATGAACAATGCAATGTAGAGCTTGTAGTCCTCATTCTGGGAGAACTACTGTATTACCATGAGCAAATTAAGTGCCTTTCAGATACAAAATTTTTGAGAACCATTGATCCAGGGCTTACAATCCCATCGTTGCCTATCTAACATAAAATCGTGGATGGAATTACATGATTATGATGAGGTTCACTATAATGTCATCAGTGTCTTACGAAATTGTTGGATGAAGTGTTTGAAATGTTTTATAGTCTGAGGTTTTAAGTATTTAAGAGCAAGTTAAATGATAGAGTACCATGTAGCTCTAAACAGGGTCTAATAATAATTGTACAGTACACATTACTGTATTCCCTTGCTGGAAGAATCAAGAGCTTAGAAAATTACATACTGTACAGTACATACATAAAGATAAATCGAACATTCCAAAACATAGGATGTCAATCACACACACACAAACACACAAAAAGGCAGAAAAATTTTTATTTCCTCAGTAAAACTGCAATAACCCAGCCTTGCCTGCATATACATCAGGAATAACCAACAAAAATAACTGAATGATCACTACTCAGTTAATTACAAATAGGAGTTTATGAACTTGGATGAAGCAATTGTATGCCTTGAGGGGATGTCAAGCCAGTACACAGTGGAAGGGGTTAAAGAGACCACAGATCAGCACGTATCGTGATCACTCGGATAAACTGGCACTTCCATAATCATTGTTTAGGACTCAGTAACCAGAATATGTTGTACTAAGAACTCTTTCAAATTACCATAACTTTAGGTAAAGATGATACAAGAAAGAACATGTAATTTTGAATATTGATGATTATAAAGATTTTGCATAACTGGGTCCTGAATAAAATATTATGGTATGGGTTTGGAAGCCTGTTTTTTGGTGATTGGGTTCTTTGAATGGTAATTGAAAATTTTATATTGTTTATACATATGATACACTCAGTGGAGGTGATATGTGCATGGCCATGGATTTTGTTTTTGTAGTTGTCTATGCATGTAATGTAACTATTGAAGAAATTTTTTATACAGTATTGAATGCCTTATAAGTATCAGGTATGTCTAGTATTCCATTTATGATGTTAATTCAGTTCAGGACATAATGTACAATTTTGGAGTTTAGTTTTCTTGTCTTAGCTGTGTGTTCAGTTGTCGTACACACTGCCTTCATAAATCATTTAGTCTAGGGTAGAAAATGGCTCTGCTTTGGTTAACCTTTGGAAGCACTACAGTGGGAAAGGAAAGTACCACTGCAGTTGAAATAGATTTTTAATTTTTTTCATCATTAATTATATACACTTCCACCATTCATCACCTTTAGTGTAGAGAAACTTAAGTGGAGCTGAGGAAAGTTAGATCGTAGTAAAGGCAAAATTTGCTAAGTACAATAATCTTGATGAACACCTTGAAAGAAAATAGGAACGCCCTCCCCCCACCCTCCAATTTCATACACAACCCTCCCTTGCCCTTTAGTTTCATACACAACCCTCCCTTGCTCTACAGTTTCATACACAACCCTCCCTTGCCCTTCAGTTTCGTACACAACCCTCCCTTGCCCTTCAGTTTCATACACAACCCTCCCTTGCCCTTCAGTTTCATACACAACCCTCCCTTGCCCTTTAGTTTCATACACAACCCTCCCTTGCCCTTTAGTTTCGTACACAACCCTCCCTTGCCCTTCAGTTTCATACACAACCTTCCCTTGCCCTTTAGTTTCATACACAACCCTCCCTTGCCCTTTAGTTTCGTACACAACCCTCCCTTGCCCTTTAGTTTCATACACAACCCTTCCTTGCCCTTCAGTTTCATACACAACCCTCCCTTGCCCTTCAGTTTCATACACATTCACAATATCTCCATAACTAAGAGAAGGATCAGTCATATTGTCACACTCTTTTACTCAGCATTTTTTATCACAGAGACTATATAGATTTTAGAGTTGAATATTCGTGTTTACATTTGAATTTGCAAGGGAAAATTGTTTTACTTTTTAAAATCAATCTACTTTATTTTCAGTTCCTTATTATTTTATCATTATTTTCATATTGTATAAATTAAAATTTCTGTAATGATATTTTTTACCATGTGATTATTGACTAATGGATGGGTCACCGTGCCTCACAGCGGAAGCCGAGCGAGCAAGACATTCAAGCCAAAGAAGCACATCCCAGAGGGCACACACCAGTATGACTTGATGAAACATGCAGCTGCCACACTTGGCTCTGGGAACCTTCGCTCAGCAGTGATGCTGCCAGAGGGAGAGGACCTCAACGAGTGGGTGGCAGTCAACAGTAAGTGGAGGCAGAAAGTTGTGACTATTTCCTCAAACATTGGGAATATGGGATTTTTGTTTACTGTTTTTAGGGGAATCTTGGAGAGGATTAATGAGTAATTTTCATGTTCTGAATAGGTATTAATGTTTTTTTTATTCTTTTAAGCAAAATAATTCACTACCATTATTTTTTGATAATTTTCCACACTTGTGTAGGTTAGCCAGAATTACCTGGGGGTAGCATTCCATACTGTGCAGTGTCTTGCAGCTTTTCTTGTTGGGTTCTTATCTCTAAGATCATATAATACAACCTCTCCCCATCTCACTTTTGGCCTATCCCTGTCTCTCCTCCCCTCCATATTCTGACTCATGCTTATCTTGACCCAGTTGACATCCTCATTCTCTACTCACCCAAACATTCTCATCCATCCTCTAGGCAAACCCTTGTCAGTGCAGTATTCTCAATACCCAGCCTCCCCCATAACATTAAACAGGGTTTCTAATCTAAATCACATTACACATCCTTCTTTAGCATGCTCAAGCTTATGTATGTCATCCTCTTTAGCTGCCCTTGTCTTGCTGCCCCACAACACTTCTCACATTGGTTACATTTATCAATCTTTTTTACATGAAGGGAAGGTACTGCAATGGTTTTAGTACTACAGATACCAGGTTTATATCAAGTTATACCTATCTGTCAGCATGATATCCAATGAGTACTGTACAGTGTTGTCTTATTTCTTAATGCTGTACTGTACTGAGGCAGAATGTAGGTGAGTTTCTTTACTGTATGGTTAATATTGTCAGTATTTTGAATAGGAAAATTAATTGTTATAGGAGAGATGCTGATGGTTTAACTTCAATTGGTAAAGGATTATATAGCTAGTCAAATTGATCTTCATTATTCAGCAGCTGAACTAATCCAAGTTTTTAAATCATTGGCTTTTAGCTTTATAAAATACTAGTGTACACTAGCTCTAAAGAGTATCTTTACAATTTTGTGAGAGACAATATGACACAATGGCCGAAGGACTTTGACAACCTTACCGAGACAACAGGAGTCATTGTACCATTTTGAAATTCATCAAACCTCTCCATGAAGATACTCTTTGGACGGTGTGTACAATACACTGTATATTAGCTAATCATAAAAAAGTATTTGTTATTTTTTTGTAGTATTTAGTAACAAATCACTTGTTATTTCAGCGGTAGACTTCTTCAACCAGATCAACATGCTATATGGAACAATAACAGAAATGTGTACAGAAGAGTCATGTCCCGTAATGTCAGCTGGCCCTAAATATGAATACCATTGGGCTGATGGTCAGACAGTCAAGAAGCCCATTAAGTGTTCAGCTCCCAAGTATATTGACTATCTTATGACTTGGGTACAGGATCAGCTGGATGATGAAGCACTCTTCCCCTCCAAGATAGGTGAGTTCTTTGGTTGGAAATCATAATGTAGGATTTGAGTGTCCTTTTCTAGCTCAGGGTGTAAGTGAGAGTATGTAGTAATGTAAGATTGTTAGCTGTTTAGTCTAAAGTCTTGGATGATTCATTAGGAGCTCTGGAAAAATCCTAACATATGCTGGGTGATGCAATAATTAGGAGATTAGCCTACTTTTTATGAACACCTGTTGCTCTTAAGAGTGAGTAAGAAAGAAGCTGCTGTTATCTGGAGTTATCAAGGCAAATGTCACTCTTCCTCATCCTCCTGTTCAATGTAAAGAGCTGGCTCTCATGATTTTACAGTGGCCAGACATTCCCCAGATGTTCTCACTAAAGTATAATGTTGTATACTGTACTCAATCTTGTATGACAAAGTGAAAAGTTTATGTTTTTGCAAATTTTATGTTTTTATATATGAAATACACTTGAATGTGGTGTTAAATGGTCTTATTATGTTCTTAAACATTTAAATGTTAATACAAACAATACATGAATTATCACACCTGACATATATTTACCAAATATTGATTTATCTTTCATGAATGGTTAAGTTAAGTATAGATATTATTTTTACCATTCATTGTACCTCAAACCTTTCTTGGTCAGGCCCCAGGGCGGGTGATAAAGATTAGACAAAAAAATATTGATTTGATGTTTGCTGCAAAGAAAAACATGAAAAAATTCTTTTCACATTTATGAAGCACAGGGACAGCTGGTCAATGAATGTTGAGGTTACAACACTCCTGATGTTATGAACCTAATTAGCTGTATACAAATGTATGAACAATATTGACTTTTATTATAATTGAAACAAACATAAATGTAGCAGAAAGGAAAACAATATAATAGAAACTAGTGCTGTGCTGTACTGTACTGTATACTGTATAATAATACCTGGACAGTATTGTATCCTGCAAGGTGTTTTGGAAATACAGTATTTACTGTTTGTACAGTATATACTTAAGGATAAATGACTTCATGACCATAGTGTCAATGCTCCATAGTTTTGGAGTTATAACACATAACAGTTGAGGTTGTAATGTGATAAAATCTACAGAGTATAAATGAAATATCCAGTGTTGCTGGTACAATTTATTTACAATCTTATGCAATCTGATATGGATTTTACAGTAAATCCTCAAAGCTCTAGCCCTCTTCCTGAATGCAGGCTTTAGTCCGTCACAAAAGTGACTGTCGTACACGTTCAGTCTCCAGGAGTGTTGTGAATGTTTGTGGCACTGCCTTGCTCTCAGCGCCACAATTCCTCATGAGTCGAGACCTCTGTAGCACTCATTTTGCCCTTAACGTGACTCCACAAGTATAAGTCAAGGGGATTTAGGTCAGGTGATTGAGGTGGCCATAAAAAGGAGCTGCCATGCCATGCCCCATCCACCTGTCAAAATACCCAAATGAGCAAAATTAGTTGGGGCACCATCCTGCATGTACCACAGTTGTTGATATATCCTAATGGGCACCTCCTTGAGCTGGATCTGCCCCTGTAGTCATGGAGTCAAGTATTCTTATGTATGTTTCAGGAATACACCCCTGAATTATGAAACATATTTCCATAACACTCTGTACAGTATACAGTATATTCATATCTAGCAATATAAAAAAACAATGTTCCATATCTAAGTGCTTACTGGACTGGTCAGTGTGTAGTGGTGTGGGTGACCGACATTGTTTACGAAACTATTGTAATTGTGGCACATGGTGAGGATTTGGAGAGGGAATACTAAGAATTAATTTAACCACCTTTAAAAAGCTATTGTCTTGATATTACGAAATTGTAGGTAAAATATTAGCATAATTGTGGTTTTGTGAGGTGGGTCAGGACCTAACCCCTCTTAATTGCAGTACATTGTTCCTATGAGAAATTAACTTGTGGGTTTTTAACAACTGCGTAACCAACTGGTTCTTCGGTCCCTAATCTATTCGTTAGCTTGGGTGCTCCTGTATGTCTATATTACAGAGTTTGCCAAAATACCACAGGTTTAGAATCAATCTTTCATAAGTGTGTTTATAAATCGATGCTTGATTTTCATTATCAGTCATGTAATACAGTATATAGTTTTAACCCCTGATATTTTACCCTTTCCAGGCGTACCATTTCCAAAGAACTTCCAAAGTAATGCCAAGACAATACTAAAACGGCTCTTCCGGGTGTATGCACATATCTACCACCAACACTTCTCAGAGGTGGTTCAGTTGGGTGAGGAGGCACATCTCAACACCTCCTTCAAGCACTTTATATTCTTTGTCCAGGTGAGATAATATTTGACGTGGGAGTGAAGGATATGTGTTATAGATTAATTTTTGTGTGTGTGTATTTGTACGTGGAGTGAAAAATATGAGTGATTGATTAAGGTTAGGATCAGATGATTGTATTACGTCACCATCTTTACAGTAAAAAAGGAGCACTTTGTTTTTATTACACAAGAGAAAAAAAAATATATATATATATATATATATATATATATATATATATATATATATATATATATATATATATATATATATATATATATATATATATATATATATATATATATATATATATATATATATATTTTTTTTTTTTTTTTTAATTTGTCACATGATAGTAAGACAATTATATACATTTAATAGTTTGGGATTATATAAAAAAATTGCCAATTGGCAAACACCATTAGGAAACATTTACTGTGTTATAATTACTACATGATATGGCTTACTTCATTTAATTTTCAGTCTTTTTATAGTTCATGGGTATTATTTACAGGAATTCCAGTTGATAGAGCGGAAAGAACTTGCACCACTGCAAGAACTGATTGACAAACTAGCAGCAAAGGACCGATGATTCCAAGTGTGAACGGTAACCATCTTCCATGAGAGTGTTTAGGTGTATAGGAATGGAGAGGGAGGGATTAGTGTTTCATCTCACCTTGTGTAACGGCAGACAAGGAAAGCTCTCACGTTTTGATTATGTTCTCAGGGAAGAGGCTCGTGGATTGTGCTGTACTGTATATCTGGTTCTGTGCCATTGCCAGACAAAATATTTCTTTGGCATATTTATGAGCATTACCCAACATAATTTTTTAGACTACAGAAGGCCAGTTCAAACTAACATTGTAAAGCCTTTTAAATTTTGTTGAAAATATCAAGAATACAAGGAGCAGTACAATCAACCTTTAGGGTATTCCTCTGTTTCAAGGAACGAGAAACTAATCATTGCATGTGAGGAGTTGAAAATATAATAATTTATTGTAGATATAAGAAAAAATTACTTTCACTTTTTTGTTAATGGCAGGCCTATGCCTAGTAAACTTGTGGGCATAAACACTTGTGGAGATGCCTTACTTGTGTGTGCTTGTCAAGTTTGCTTGATGTACTTACTAAAGCCAGAATGTTATTGTTTGTAATAGACTGCTCTTGTTATTTCTTTTGAGAAAGGGTAAGATGATTGCTGGCAGGAAAGTCTGTTGACAGATCTTTCTTTGATTATGGACCAGTTACTGTGTACAAGTTTCAGATAGTCCTTAGTGATTGCTTGAGGGCAAAGGGAGGACAAATATGATTATAGCTGCTTTCGTTTCATAAGCAGTACAGTATATGTTCTGGACATTCCGTTAACCACATTGGCACCCGAGATGGATTGCACAGTAATATTAATTTAAAGAAAAAAGGACTACGTAATCATGTTTGTTATGCTTATTCAAAACAAAGATTTCACATCTTCTAGCTTTTAACGATACCTGTATAAGGCTGTTTGCCTCTGCTTGTAAAATGGGGTTATCCTGAAACCTGGAAAAAAGGCACATTATTGGACTTGAAAAGACTTAGATGCATTCTTGTTACTCAATGATATTTCTATAAGACATTTTGCTATCTCCCTGTTTTTCCTCCATTCATCATATTATCAGCATAGTTTTTTTCAGTAATCGTTGTTGAAATATTCCCCTTTTTAAAGCTTTTAGGAGGCTTTTGATTTATAAACAATGCAGAATCTAGGTGGCATAATTTACTTTTATCAAACTAATATAGCATTTCCCTATTACCTTGTCATTATTTAACTGTTTAACTAATCATTGAGGGAATTTTCAGTTACAGCAAAGATTTTTTAAGGAGTTTACAAGCCTTGTTATAAAGGTTTTTAAAATTAGAGTACAGTCATCCTATTTATGGTTGTAAGAGTCTATAATATTAAATCATTGAAGCTTAGCAGAGTGAAGTGTTCATCAGAGATCCAATGTGTCTCAGAAGTTTGCTATGAACATTCACAAACTCTAGGTTTGAGAAAGAACAAGATTCAGGTTTTAAACTTTTGATTAGGTTTAACTGTATCACTCTGCCAGTAGGTAGTAGTACTGTACACAGCAGTCTTCCTCAGAGGGTCAGGTCTTCTTTGGATATTAAGTGGTGACCGAAAAAGTTGGGTACAAAATCTTCACATCTGGGAGGGGTAATATTTATATGTTAAATAGATTTGTCTTATATTTTCACTTTTCCCTGTTTGTATTTGGACTCTTTGTACATGTTATAGAAATGAGCAAAGATGCTTTCACATATCAGAAGCTAAAGTTGTTGTGTCTTCTTTCAGAATTGTTTTGTTAGATAAATGTTTCACTGTATTAACTTTTGCGGATGGCAGTCCCTTGGAAATGGAAATCTAAGTTAAGTTCTGTATACATCATCTACCTTACAAAGACAAAACACTTAACTACTTAAATAAATTTTGAGGTTTTAGTACAGAACTGTCCTGTACCTTGTGTAGATTAACTTTGGTATGCTTGTTTAACTTACTTGTGATTAATTATTTAAATGTACATGTGGTCAGTAAGTTCTTAAGTTTATCGCATAGCATCAGCCTGCTTCATCATCTTGTTAGCTACCCAGAATGTATTTACATGCAATAGATCAATATATATCCAGTCATATGCTGGATGAGGTGTTCTTGTATAGGAACCCTGTTTTGAAAAATACCCACTGATAGTGCTATAGGAACTAGTGTGATTTACTGATGTGTACAAGTGGGCCAGAGAGTAGTCTAAATGGTGAGAAAATAGTATAGCTTTAGTACTGGATGTGATGATGGACATAAGGCTTATACAGTTATTCAGCTTGTTTGTATTTTGTCTTCTGAAAAGGGAAAGATAACAGTAGTAGATTGAACCTTATTGCAACTAATAAAATTATACTGTTCTAACTGATATATATCTGTAAAATGTCATGATTGAAGACTGGATGAGGAGTCATTGGTGCTCTGAGTAAAAAATGAAGCTCTGGGATGATATTTGTATGTTTATGGGTTGTAGCTCACTGAAAGCATAAATGGCATGCAGCTTAAAATTTGGTTATGTATATAAATATACAGTAATACTGTACAGTACTGTACTTCAAAACTTCCCCCATAATTGGGAAACCAGTAAAAAATACCAAACAATCAAGACAGACACTGGTACACCATGAGTTCTTACTTTAGTTATCTACACACATTGGGGATATTAACAAGAGGAGGAGTGATGCTGTACACAAACTCATCCACAATGAATGACTTAAACCCTAGTGTCTTCTGGTGGGTTTGTGTTGAGCCCAAATATTTATACATTACGGGGGTAAACTTTATAGTGCTATTTTTCTTCAATATACTAGAGGGGATACTAGTGATTGAGTGTAAAACAGGCCAAGTGATGTTAATACCTTATGTGTTAGAGAATTAGTCAAATGTTTCAAAACTTTCTCTTGTGTTTGTACTGAACAAAAATATTAATTTATACATTATGTTAATATTTGTATTTAATGTGAATTCTTTATAGGGAAAATCAGAAGTCCAATATTAGTGTACTGTATGAGAATTATCATATGTCTAGTACCTTGTAATCCTGGCAGGAACTTGTTTACCTACTGACTCAAGACCCATGGGAAAGACCATCATGGCACACTTACTCTTCTCAAAGTGCCATATTTAAAAGGACAAAATTTTATATCACTACGTGTTTGCATTTGAGCAAATCACTGCATTGGTGAAGATTTGAGAGGCTTAAGTAATGAAGTTTTACTGTAAGTTAACCATACTGGATAAGTCTAAAGTCTGGACTTATAGGCAGGGTTCACTATTTTTTTTAACTTTATCAGATGTTCAAATTACATGACAGTAAATCACAAATACACATCATTTCTTTGACACAAACTTGATTGAACATTTAATAAAATTTCTTGCAAGCAGTATCATATTTAGGATGCACATTTTGGAATCAGGTGCTTACATGCCACCACCTGGATGCTTTGATCAATAGATGAAGATTGGGTGTGTGCCATGACCAGACTAGATGTGCTAACCATATATCACCAAAGTGATATATGGGTGTAATTTATTATCAAGTTGAACCTGTGATGTAAAAAGGATAAATATTGCAGCATTTTTTTTAAGCCAGACCTCATATTTGCCTTGTTTTTTAAAACAAATTTATTATCATGCCATTCAATTAAATTTTATGTAAGAGAACCATTTAATTCATTTTTGTAGAATTGGCATACAGGTAAATGCTAAACAGATTCATTGCACTCCACTGCCAGTAGATAATTGAAGATCTTCCATGGTAAACATGACTAGGATAGACAAATACATATCATTTTTTGAGCATTTAAGAATTGAAGATGCTGCTTGTTAAAATATTTTGGATATCTTGCTTGAGGTTTTGTATAAACATCAGTTGTGAGATCAGAGAGAATTGATAACAAGAAATGGGTGCACAAAACTCGGTAGTGTTTTGTAAAGGTTTGAACAAGGATATTGTGATATTGATGTGGCGAATGAACTGCAACTTTCATTGTTTTTCTTGTTATTTTACTTCTCAAGTAGCATTGAATTTTAGGGAAGAAACTCACTAAGACTTTTTTTCCTGGGTAGAGGCTAATAAAGTTTGCAGTTGTTCACATCATTAGCACCAGGTGATAACTTTTTTAATATGCTTTATGTAATCCTTTTTTTTATATTAGTGGGCCGTGCTAGAGGGAACAAGGAGTCAAGTGTATAATATATTGATGTGTTTCTATTCCTGTTTGACAGATAGGGTGAATATTATGCAGATTATGGATTTTTTAATTGTGATTTTATTTCCTAAAATATGTGCTTAAATGTTCAAAATGGTTTGTTAGGTGAGGTCAGGTCTTTTGTACAGGTACCTCTTGATTTGTGCAAGTTTGGTTAACGCCGTTTTTAGCCATTTTTAGACTAACACCTTTTAAAATTTTATGTTGGTTTATGTTTGGAATAACATAAGCATCGACAAACATCATAATTTGTGCTGGCAGCCTGGTGGTGTGGGTATCCAGCTACCCATTTTGCAGTCCTCAGTGCATGGAGACAATCTATAGTGCTGCAATATAATGTATACTGCAAGTGTTTTGCCCTTTACATTATGCCATCAAAGCATCCTTTTAAGTTCTCCTGGTACCAGTGGTGCTACAAAGTGTAAGGCCATCACCATTGAGATTAATATGGATGTGTTCAATCATTATTATGGTTGAGGTGGACTTAGTTAATCTACTTTACGGACTATTTGTGATAGTGCAGATAAGATTTAGGAGAGAGTGGAACATTAATCAATTCATGCCATCTAAGACCTCGTGTTCCCAAATGGTGAGAATGGAACGAATGTTGAGCACTTTGATCAAACACCAAACTCACAAAAATGATCCTGTCAGCATGCTTGAGATACAAGCAAAGGCCCTGGAGTATTTTATATTTCCTGGTATGCACAGTACATGTAAACAGTACTGTAGTTTTTCATTGGTTGTAATATTCTGCACTGTCTTTTTAAAAGTGAAACCCCATAATCTGCATTATTTGCATTGTTTGATTTATGTGTTTTTTAATTAAACGATCATTTTCAAGAACATAATTATCGCATAAATCGAGAGGATCCTGTACAGGTATGTGGTATGTGGTCGAGTTATTCGTGAATCTCTGATAATGAGTAAATTTGCATTTGTGAAAATGGTAAAAAAGGAACTGGTGAAGAATATATAATATTTTGTAGAGCATGTGTTCATTTACAGTGGTCCAGTATAAATATTTTAGTTCTTATGATTTACCTTTTCCTAAACTTAGTTTTCATTGCTGACCAAAAGGATCATTCATTTTCATAACATTTTTTCTTTGTACATATTTATATATATATACCTGTATATTAAAAGATAAGATTCCACTATTGAAATTGACTTTTCCCTTTTATGGAAGGGTCATTTTTGAGTAAATTATATGCACTAGTATCAGCTTTTGATAGGTTTATAGCAACGTGTCTGGATTGTTTTCGTAGCCAAATGATGATAAACAAGTTTGTTTAGAGAGGGCTGTAGTTCAGTTTATTTAGCCTATTGAAGAATTGCCTAAATGAGGAGCAAATATTTTAGTAAGGCATCACTTTCATCATTATGAAGAAGAGCAACATAAAAGTATATATGATTGAAATACCCAAAAGTGAAGCTTCATGGAGGACTGATTGTTTGACTGCTTTTATAGTAAGTGTGGGAGCCTTGAGTGAAGTCGGAGGGAGCTAAAAGAAATGTCCACTACAACAGATTGTTCAAGGAAATGTTTTCATTTTAAATGATTAATGCTGTTAATAGCCATAATAATTATTCCTTATCATTTCATAAACAGGAACCTAAATTTGGTGAGTGATTTAAACATTTGATACATTGTAGTTTTAATTCTCTCTTGTTTTGAAAATGGCAATTGAGCTACCAGTTCCTATAAATGCACAATGTTTGATTGGTTTCAGATTGCAGTTATTATATGAATCCTGTATTTCAGTAAAACAAATTGAACTGAAAAATCCCTCTAATGTATATTGTGGATATTTTCAGTCCTGCAATTCCGTTGTAATACATATTTTTATCTTAAGCTCCTTTGTTTATGTCTCCTTTCTTTCAGTCATGATTCATTAAGCAGTTATTTATGTTAAGTTATCTAGTCAGTCACATATTCAAGTGACTTTTCCTCACATTGGAATTTAATGTGTTTACCTTCTCAAGTACCTACAGGAAAATACAAAAATGCCAACATACACACTTGAAAACCATAGGTGGTGAGTGATAGCATTGCAGAAGTACATGGATTGTACAGTAGGGAGTATGATTATACTGTAATAGGAAATTGCTGAATTTGATCAGTGGGGAAGCATCCCCCAGGATCTTTGTTCTTGTGAACATTGATTCATTTACATGAAGTAAATCTAAAGGAAAATTTTGATATATATATATATATATATATATATATATATATATATATATATATATAAAGCGGTTTTCGCTAAATATTCATTTTCTACCATAGTATACCCATAAAAGATACATAAATCGTTTTCCTTATGGACGCCTGGCCACTAGATGGCGGGCCATCAAGTGAGGTTCTGTATGGGAGACGCTCTTCCTCCTTGGTCTGCCTGTAACAGTCTGTGATGTCACTACACGGCAGCAGGAGCAACAGGCATGCCGAGCACTCGCTCAGGTTTGGGATGTTAATCACAAATTACAAACAGGGCTGACATTAATTTCCACCATTTTCCCAATGATAAAGAACTGAGAAGTTGATGAATTCACTTGTGTGAGAGGAAAGACTTTATAAATGCTGAAAATGGTCATTTATGCAGCTTGCATTTTGAGACCAGTGCGTCTGAGGAGAACTTCAAATATAAACTGATTGGACTACCAGCACCAAGAACACTTGTAAGGATTACCAACATCACAACTGCCATGTTCTAAAGGTAAGCCTATATTATTTCAGGTAAAGGTGAAGGAGACAGTTACCACCAGAAATGGTAAATTTGCATCTTAACCAACATGGCTCTCAGGTTGAGCAGTGTGTTTTACCGATGGTGTACACAAATTTAAGAGACTTTTCTTCAATGTCGTTTCTCTCGCAAGTGATTTAAATATACCATTATGTAACCTAACTTAACCTTAGTCCCCAACTTCCTTATAGTAAATATGATATTTTGTTTGGGTGAATTTATAGTAAAGCACCGGTCTTTCTCTCATTGTTATTAATATATATTTCGTAATGTTTTGACAATTCTAAGATAGTTTTACACTGGAAATTAAGGATAACCAAGATATTAATTTTTCAATATTATTAGTTTTATTCAGTCTAGTGTTGCCATGTGGTTTTTTTTTTGCGGAGAATTGAATTGAATCAGTTTATTTAGCCAGAAAAACACAGATACAGAGTGGATAATAATAACAATATTACCATGGCTGACACCCCCCTTACGCAGTGCTCCTTACCTCCGTCTTCGCTTCTTGCACGTCTACAGCACATGTGCAGGGGGGTGGTATAGGAGTTTCTTTTTGGCTATAGCGATACGAGACTTATTATTGGGCTAGAGGTTTTTTTGTCTTAGCCAGTGCGTCGGGAGAGGAGATTTAAATTTTCAGTACCAGATATAGCTGAGGTGGAAGAGCTGTGCTGTCATTGTGATAGAGATTATTTTGTCAATTCCGAGTTTCATCAGAAAAATAGTGAGGCAATTTCTCTTTTTAGAAAACACAGTGTATTGCCGAACAACTTTATTTGTTCAAAGTGTAATAATCGGTGTACACTGCATGATGAACAACACATTTGGCGGTGTCTCCACAGTTTTCTTCAGCCGAACAGTAAGAAACGAAAGAGGTGCAACTTGGTTAGGTTAGGTCAGGTCGGGTCAGGTCAGGTCAGATCAGATCAGGTGTGGTTTGGTTGATTGGTTAGTATTTTATGCAATTTACAAATAAAATAATCCAACTTTTTCCCTTATTATTTGGGGGGTTGTATCTCAAACACTAGTGATTTCCGGCAGAAATGAAGATCATATTCGTTCGAAACTCATCAAATAACATAGGTAAAACATATTTTTTATATCCAAAGAAATAATGCTTCTTTTCTACAAATTTACCTTTGTTTGTTACAGATGTTACAACAAAAGTTTGGGGAAAATAAACTGCACCACCACAACTGAAAATGACCAACTGCGGCATGGAACAAGAGATGCCACCACCATGGCACTATCACCACTACCACCACCACCTATGGCAAGGTAAACTAAGGGGACAACTCTCATACCCTGTGAACAAGTTGTTGTAACTGTGCTCCTGTCTGTCTTCCTTTTTATCTTCCTGTCTATCTAACTGCTTATGTATATTTATGTTTCTGTCTTTCTGTATGTGCTTTTCAGTATATCTGTCCATTAACTGCCAGGATTTATGTATCAATACCTATCTCAGTCAATCTATCTACCTGTTTTATCTATATCTGTCAGTATCTACTGTGTCTATCTATGAGCCAATTTGTCTATATTATCTGTCTATCTGTCTAAACTACTGTATTTCCCACAGTATTAAATGTACAACTAATTTAGCTGGGAATACTAAGGCAAAAATTACCGAGTCTAGCATGCAAAGTTTACAGTCCCAAGAAAGTTCACGTGAACCATACTTTCATAAGACAAACAACTACTGTACTGAATGACTATTAATTCATGTACATATTTTAATCATAAACAGTTGTGTATATTTAGTATTTTTTCTTTGTTACAGGTGATTTAAAACTAGACCTTGGGAAATTGAACTGCACCATTACACTTGAAAATGATAATTGAAGACTGGGACAAAGAGTTGCTATTGTAGAGCTTCATTCCAATGGCCACTCTGTAAAACCACCACCTTCACAACCATCATGGTGCCATCATCACTACTAGCACCTCTACATATGGCAAGGTAAACTATAGGAGCAGCTCTCATACCCTGTAGAGGAAATCTTTGTGCTTGTCACACTGTGGACAATAATTTATGTTGTAACTGTGCTCCTGTTAGTCATTTGTCTTTCTGTCTGCCTTTATGTGCCTTTTAGTATATCTATCAATTTTTCTATCCATTATCTTCCGGTGTATATCTATCAATACCTATCTCAGTCTGTTTGATCTATATATGTCAATCTATCTATCATCACAAGTGTTTGCCAGCTTGTCAATTTATATACAATGTCTGTCTATCCATATGGATTATGTACCATATGTCAGGATCTATTTATTTTTATATTTTTATCTCTCTTTCTTTGTTTATGTATCATTCAACCTATCAATGTCTACCTATCTATCTGTCTTAATTATTGTATTTCCCACCATATTAATTGTACCACTAGTTTAGCTGGGAATATTTTGGAAAAAATTGCTCGAGTTTCTCAAGCATGCAAGCTTTACAGCCCCAAGAAAGTTCACGTAAACCAAACTGCATAAAACAAACAACTACTGAACTGGACAACTATTAATTCGTGGACATATTTTTCATCATAAACTGTTGTATTATGTTAAATGTTTTTTTGTTACAGGCGAGTTAAAGACCAAAGCTTGGGAAACTAACAACTTGAGGATGGAGACTCTGCTGTTACAGGTGTGTCTTTCTGTATGCTGTATCTATCCATATCTCAATTTGACTATGTATGTCCAACTATATTTATCTATATCGGTATATCTTTTTATCAGTCAATTTGTCTATTTGTCATCTATCATCTGTCAGACTATCTATTTATTTATACTATAAGTATATACCTTATCTATTTCTATGCTATCTGTAAGAAAGGTGTTAGCAACAATGTGCAGTGAGTGTGAAAAGTGGGTATACAAAAGGTGCAGTGCTGTGGAATGGACAGCAGACTGCAGGCTGTTGCTGACTGTAAATGTTCTGTATATGCAGATAAATATGTGGCCTTAGCAAGGCTGGAGAAACTCAATATTGAGGATGCGTCCTGGGACTGTGTCAATGAGTTCTGCCTGGATGACATGATCAGTGCTGGAGGGGGTGCTGAAGATATCCCAGTTGCAAGAGTCAGAAATGACTGGAGTAGTTTAGGGAGTTGCTGCCTTTATTGTCAGCAAGAGAACTTTCCCTTTACATGAAAGGAAGAATGTATACAACTGATGTGAGAAGTGTATGTATTATATATCAGTGAAAAATGAGCAGCTCAAGAGGATGACTTATGCAGTCTTGAATAATCTAAAATGGGAATGGTGAGGTGGATGTGCAATGTGACACTAAAAGATAAGACTCCCTATTCAGAGTTAAGAGTCAGCTGGGTATTGAGAGTATTGGTGGTGTTTTGCAGAGTTAGGCTGAGATTTTTCAGGCATGTGGAGAGAATGGATGAGACCAGTTGGGTCAAGAGGTGCATGAGTCTAAACATATAGGGGAGGGGCGCCAGAGGTAGGCCAAAAATTACTTTTTATAAATCCACTTCGTCGCCAATGGATAATGACCAAGATGGTAAATTTACATAGGAAATTATCATAAATCTGCAATCACCCCGGTCGTCTGTTTGTTTGCAACTGATCCGATCGATCTGGGTGTACTCACGTCCACAAAAAAAACAACGTAATATTACACCATGATGCTTTAACAAAGTTGCTTTAATTGGTACCAGTTATCAAAACAAGTACATTCTGTTTAAAATGGCTGAGGGTCTGTCCCCCGACTAGGAAGTTAGGTAAGGTTAGGTAGGATTCTTTGGTTGGTTAGGTCAGGTTTTATGGAGGGGGGTGATAACTCAAAAATTACACATTTCTAACGGAAATAAACATCTAGTTCGAAAGAATCCCACCTAATACACTGGGGAAAACCTAGATTTCTGGTCAAAAACTAATTGGTAATGAAGCTAGAATTTTACCCACTCTCACAAGTGCATGTTTAACTGAGTATGTGTCATTCTCCTGCTAGTTATTGTTAGTGATTCCATCTTTTGAAAACTCTTAAATTTCTTAAATTTGGCAACAGTAGCTTGTAATGTGTAAAGGTGTCCCAGGATCTACACCACTGGCCTTGCTGCAACTAATATCATATGTATTCCCATCAACACGTAAGGTAATACAATATATTACATAAGTAATGGTGCTAAAGGTAGTTTGTGTAGCATGGAAAGCCTTGGCTTCGGCTTCATGATTTTTTGAATGGTTGACCTCGGCTTTCTGACTTTTCAATGGCTTCATTCCAAATTCTGATTTGAGTTTACTGTACGCAATTTGACTTCATACAATAACGAATTCACATTTATCTGGATTAATCTCTCTGTTTAATACAAAAAAATGAAAAACATTTAATATATAAGGCTGATGGACCTGATGTAGTTTTAAATTCCGCCTTGTTGTCGTGTTTGTTTGTTTACACAATATATAAATCACTTACTAGTACAATATCGTATTACAGTATGTAGGATGCGCCAAGTTTGGTCTTAAATGACCGGACACTCGGTGCCGCCACAATACTCTGGCAGGTTATTCCAAGACTTTTGGTTTCGAACTGGCTCCATCCTCAATGTTCCTGTAATGTAAAGGCGACAGCACACTGGCCACTTTTCTTCCCAATCTTGAAATCTTTAGATTGAGTTTGTGACGTATACCAGTGGAGAGACTATCAGGTAATTTTAGATAAGATAATTATATATGATTTACTAGGTACAGTAGTGCCTATTTAGGTCTTCTTAAACTTCTTGTTTTTTATTCATGAGAAATATTGCTTTATTCTTTATAGTGATTCAGGAGTCATGTTTTTGTTAATAAAGGCCACCCAACATTCCTATTATAAAAGTTGGCTCCACAGTCCTGATGACCCTTAAGTAAAGTTAGGTTCCCATCCGAAGTTAGGTGAACTTATGGTGCCCGGACGTGGACCAGTGTATCTGGGTACAGGAGATGTGCTGCAGCCAAGCTTCATTTGCATGCTCAAAATGTAATTGCACCATCAGCTTTTATAGCCATTTGAAAATTACAATATCTAAGGTCTCTTGTTGACTTATTCGTGCTTTTTTCTGCTCATTTTTTTTGTCTTGTCTCATTCGTAAAACTTGTGTACTGTATACTGGAACTATATGATGTTCACGGATAATTTTAGTAATGAATGACAAGATTAACATTTCAAAACACAGTAATAAATTAAGATGGAGTGTCTGTTTTATGTAGATTTAATATTTCTGATTAGTCCCACACTCGAACCAAAGGACCTCACAGGATATAACCATATGATAGCTTTGTTGGGCTATCCCAGGTCGAGTTGATATACTGTTTACTTTAGTTTGTATACCTGCACTGTCTCTGCACAATGTATATTTGTCAGTTTATACCTGCACTCTCTATACACACACCAATTTATCATTAAGCGTTTAAATACCTGTATAGGACTCTTCTGGTGGTTATGATTAATGTATACCTTATACATTACTGGTGAAATGATGGGGTCGAAGTACTAAAGCTACAAATGATTTCAATGATTCTAACTATATCCATATATCATATTTTACTGTCATGATTAATATTCTACATTTTGGTACATAACAACAAATACTATGATCGAAGTTTATGAAAATAATAAATAAAATAACTTCAGTATGGTAAGACAGAGTGGATAGAATTACTTTTAGCAGTGAACTTGGTAGTGTTCGGTGGTCCACTCAACAACTGAGGCTATGTTGGATCATATTTCAATAACAATAATGATGTTTTTGAAAAATATACCGCATGTATATTTTTTTTCTTACATACTGTAGAGTTTATGCGATCTTACCTGTACACACTTCAAATTGATGGGGATAAGACTAAACTAAGAATATGAAACATGTTTTATAAGTATTATATACAGAGTGAAGATAAATATAATATAAATAGGATCTATTTACAAAACTATTTTGTACAAATTTGAAAACCATGGAGTCGATTTTGTGATTTTTTTTTAAAGGGTACACAGCTTAAATATGAATAAAATTCAAAACAATGAAAACATTTATATAGTACAATGTTATACAAATCACCAAATGAAAGCACATCACATAACTCCATAAGGGAGACCCTGAATAAGTGGAATTTGATACTCATTGTCTTGTTACATAAAGTTACGTTTTGCTAACATTTTCTAGCATATAACAATACCCTTGACATTGCCTTGTCTATGGGATACAAATATAGCTAAAAATATACATTGTTCATAAGGAAACAGCTGCCACACTGTGAATATTAATTTTCTTTAACCTATGCATTTTATTAAGCCTATAGAGACATAAAAATCTATTATAGTACAGTAATGTAATGAACATAATTATGTCAAGTCCAGATAAATGAGATCCATCAATAGTCATCGACACTGACCACCACTACCTCCCCACCCAAGTCAGTCCTTGTCCCCACGTACCTACCACAACCTCCCCCCCCCACCACAACTTCCCTCCTCCCCCTACCTATCACAACCTTCCCTCCTCCCCCACCTACCACCACTCAGCTGCTCATCCTACCTCCCTCTCGAAGTACCATTAGCATTTCTACATTATTTCCATTAGATTTTTTTCACCACCAGATTCATTTCTGGTTACAATTACTGTTGTTTCATACTTTCTTCATCATCTTGTTATCTACTTCTGATACAACTGAAGCTATGTATAAGCTGCCTTCATTTCTTTTATGCTATCACAACTTTAGCTCTGTTATAAAAACCATTATTTTCCACCTGCCATAATTAATAGTGTTCTGTACCTGCCACAACCAATTCACTGACTGGGAGAGACTTGGTTCATACCTAACTCCTCCCTCTGTCATAAGAACATAAGAATGGAGGAAACTGCAGCGGGCCTATTGGCCCATACTGGGCAGTCCCGTTTTACCACTCTCTATCATCCATGAATCTATCTAGCCTCCTTTTAAAACTTTTCAGCATTCCAGCACTTACTACAAAGCTGCTAAGCTTGTTCCACTCGTCCACCACCCTATTTGTGAACCAGTTCCTTCCTATCTCCCTCCTAAACCTAAACTTATCCAACTTAAATCCGTTGCTACGAGTCCTATCCTGCTCGGATATTATAAGAACTTTATCTATATCGCCTTTATTGATTCCTTTCACCCACTTAAATACTTCTGTCATATCTCCCCGCACTCTTCGTCTTTCCAGGGAATGCAAGTTTAGTTTCTTTAACCTATCTTGATATGGAAGGTTTCTAAGTCCCGGAATCATTTTCATCATTCTTCGCTCAGTGACACAGACTCATTAATAGCAGATTATACTGTATTTACGTTACTAAACACAGACTCTCGGACACAAACATGAAATGGATACACTTCCCACCGTAAGTAACTCACCCTATGGATAGCTCTGACAATGACTCACGTGTGACTTAAGGGAGGCCCAGCGGGTGCTGCTGGACTATGTCTCCTATGGGAGACTGCTAGCTGGAGACGCGGTGCTGGGGAGGTAAGTCTCCTTCCCGATCTCGACTAGTGACGAGCGTGACTTCGTCTTCAGTGATACGAAAGTAATCCGCGTGGATTGAGCTACAGGGCCTTTATATTGGAGGAGAGCAAGCAGATGACCTCTCCTAATTAACAATAAACTGGTTAGATCTGGACGGCTGTGTTTGTCCAGGTGCGTGGTCATGTCGCCGGTCGGTAATGCTTCCTAATTATTACCACCCGGGTGTGTCTTGGCTAGGTGTGGTTTCTTTAACACGGTCATGTCGCCCAGTTAAGCTAATCGCGTGGCGGTGAGTCTTTGCCATGCAGTGCGGTAGTTCCAGCCACTGTGGACTATCCTTACTTGAGTGACATTTTACAGCGCTTTAGACAATGTTGACGTGGGGATTCTCAGTCCAGGGTTCAGGATCGAGTGCAGTCAAACATTTCGAAGCGCATATCGTCAGTGATGCCCTGGTCAGAGTTGACTAGGGTGACCTGCTCTGTCCCCCTTGAGAGGAAGTGGCCTGGGGATAGAGTACAATACAGTATATTAAGTCAGTGAGAGTGATGTTGTCTTTGTTCAAATTAGTGAATTTCTGTAAAAATGTTTTAACTAAATAAGGAAATTGTATTGATCTCATTATATTGTGGGGAACATCTGAAGATTAGCCCAAAATGATTTCACCTGATGATTAAACACCTTAGTGATACCTGTTAGGCTAGGTTAGATAGATAGATATTTATTAAGTGAAATCATCATACAAGTTTAGTTTGGTTTGATATGTATAGAGAAGCACGTATGCATACAAAGAGAATGGAGGTATACAGTTTGTGTATATAGGCCGTGCAGGTAGCGGAACAAGGGTGGATTAGATTATCTAGGTGAGTATTTGTTTGAGCCATTTTGTAGATTAAATTTGTGTTTTCCTTATAATGATACAAATAACATTGCTTCTATTACCTATACTGAAATGAAGTCTGCCTTGTTTCATAGATACAGACACTGAACTCTTACTCTTATGGTGATATTTACATGGTATTAATCTTAGAAATTCTAGACAATAAAAAAATTACAAAAATAACAAGGAATTTCTATATTGCTCCGAGTTACGTCAAGAGAATATTAAAGAAAGGAAAAATCTCCATAAGTGTAACATTTTTAAGTGTGATTGGTAAAATATGAAAAGGGAGAGGAAGGTTGGAAGACAGTTCCCTTTAGTGTGAGAGGAAGCTTAAGGTGGCCCCACATTACAAGTAGACAGGAGTGAGTATTTTGCTTTAGCTGAGCCCCTCTTTCAATACATTAACCTAACCCTTAGCTGACAGATAGCTTTAGGGTATAGCTAATCTTAAGGTGAAATCAGCTGGAGGGAGGGGGGGGGGAGGAGGCTTAACATAGATAAGGTAAGCCATCCTGTAGGACTTCTTGACCTAGTTTTGACCTGACCAACTGACCTGAGTAGCTTTGGTGACCTGACCTGAGTGTTTGTTAGTGATTAAGAGTGACCTTACTGTCTGGTGAACTGACTGACTGATAGTGACTTTGGCGATCTTACTGACTGGTAATAATTGGTGAACTGACTAACTGGTAGTGAGTTCAGTGACCATATTGACTGGTAGTAAACTGGATGAATGGTGAACTGAGGGAGTGTACTGACCTGTAGCGAGGTGTTTGATCGTGACGTAAGTGTCTCCTCTCGCACTGTGTAGAAGGAAGAATCTGTTGTCGAATCTGCTGACGTTATTTACACTGATGCCTCCAGACTGTGAAAACAAAACACACGAATCAGTACACCTGTTTGTTTACGGGTTACAGAAAGATCGCCATTGATATTTTAGTTTGAGTTTGTGGAGAGAGAGAGGACCAAATTAGGGTTTACCCAGTCACCACTCAGACACTCACTACCCAGTCACCACTCAGACACTCACTACCCAGTCACCACTCAGACACTCGCTACCCAGTCACCACTCAGACACTCACTCAGACCTCAGTCACCACCTCAGTCACTCAGACACTGGTCACCACTCAGACACTCACCCAGTCACCACTCAGACACTCACCACCCAGTCACCCAGGACACTACCCAGTCACCACCAGACACTACCCGGTCACCACTCAGACACTACCCAGTCACCACTCAGACACTCGCTACCCGGTCACCACTCAGACACTACCCAGTCACCACTCAGACACTCGCTACCCGGTCACCACTCAGACACTCCCAGTCACCACTCAGACACTCACTACCCAGTCACCACTCAGACACTCACTACCCAGTCACCACTCAGACACTCACAGTCACCACTCAGACACTCACTACCCAGTCACCACTCAGACACTCATTACCCAGTCACCACTCAGACACTCACTACCCAGTCACCACTCAGACACTCACTACCCAGTCACCACACACTACCCAATCACCACTCAAGACACTACCCAGTCACCACTCACTACCCAATCACCACTCAAGACACTACCCAATCACCACTCAAGACACTACCTAGTCACCACTCAAGACACTACCCAGTCACCACACACTACCCAATCACCACTCAAGACACTACCCAGTCACCACTCAAGACACTACCCAGTCACCACACACTACCCAGCAAGCACCAGCACTGACCATAAGAGATAGGGTCCCAGATGTGGCGCCTCTGAGGAACTTGCCTCCAGCGAAGGTCTCTAGCATCACCACTATGCCTCCCTCAACCAACGGCCTCAGCACCTCGAATGTATGGACGCGGAAACACACTGTGGGAGGCGACAACCAGTTAATATTTTCACGATTGATGAATATTTTGTCTAATTAAGTAAATATAGCTGAAGATATACAGTACAGCATACATATTGTGTGTGTGTTCAAATTATACATCTTCATAAGTAAAGAGTATTAAACATCTGTGATCTCTAATGGCAGCAGCGATATTAGAGAGATAATAGATATAAACATTTGAACTGACGCGGGTAGACGATTTCCCCCTCCCAGACCTAATATGGCGGACTAAACACTGTCCAGACTCCACTGCATGTAAGCAAACTACTTACCTGACGACATACAGTATGCAAGATTAATCTATTATATACTCCATTACGACTTAAAATTATTTAACATAAGAATAAAAGAAACTACAAAATAAAATCCTATTAATCATAAGCCATTTTCATATCTCCGTTTAATATTTGAAATTTCCTCAACTGATTCTCTTATATCTCTATCAATCCCAAGGGGAAGGTCACAGCATCTTTACTACTACTACGTACCATGAGTGTGTGAGGTGCTCTCCTGGGCTTCTAGGTGGAGGGAATTTCCTGACGAAGAGGGTGCTAAATAGAGAGGGTCACCTTGTACTCGGAATTTCCGGTTCTCCTGGCCCGTGTAGTTCACCTCTTGAGACGATGACCTCGATGACCCTGAAACAATAAAACACTCATTACTTAGGATGTGTCAGGTCAGGTTGAGTGACGGCAGTTTAACAGGTCAGATTGAGTGACAGGAACAGATCAGAATGAGTGACGGTAGTTTAACAGGTCAAAACTGAATGGAAAGTTAAGTGTATTTGGGAGAACATAATATCTTAAATCACCTGAAGATTAGACACCCCACTTTATTTTACCTCCGAGAATACCTTAACTCTACATGGAGGGTTAAGCTAGGTTTTTTGGGGAAATATGATGTAAATAATACGCTAAAAAAAAAACTTAAGCCCATACCAATAAACACAAACTTCAACACCTCATATTACATGTGTTAAGATTAAGTTGATCTTGACCAAAACTTAACCCAGGTAAAGTTAGAAGAAAGAGGTTAGTTAGTCCCTTTACTGAATTAACTCCTAACACACAAAGGCATTATGAGAATATTATAAATTAAAATATCAGGGGAGACTAAAGTTATTTTTATATTAAGGGATAAAAGATGAATATTGCATCATAACACAAATAAATTCACAACTATGATAAACTTGTATACTTAAATGGGGGTACTCGATCAACCATAGGTGCTGAGGTCACGTCATTGGCGAACGATTGATTTCTTCACCTAACTAAATAGTAAAAGTAGATCACCTGAAGCTTCGCCCCTCCAATTTATATTTCACCTGGTAATTAAACATCTTAACACTACCTTGGGGGGGGGGGGGTGGAGTGAGTTAGGTTAGGTTAGGTTTGATAAGGGTCACACTGGATAAACACCCCTCTCTTCTCACATCAGGCACAGGCCGTGACTCGAACCCAGGACATAAGAATGGAGGAAACTGCCGCGGGCCTATTGGCCCATACTGGGCAGTCCCGTTTACACCCAACCCCTATTGCTCATATATCCATCCAACCTATGTTTGAAGCTATCCAGCGTATACGAGTTAATGATGATATTTGGTAACTTGTTCCACTCGTCCACTACTCTATTTTCAAACCAATGTTTACCTATTTCGTTCCTAAATTTGAATTTGTCTAATTTAAAACCATTGTTACGAGTTCGCTCCTGGTTTGATAGTTTGAGTACCTTTGTAATGTCCCCTTTGTTCAGCCCCGACTTCCATTTATACAGTACACCTCTATCTTATCGCCTCTCAAGCTACGTCTCTTGAGGGAGTGCAAATTAAGATGCTTTAACCTGTCTCTGTACTCAAGGTTCCTAATGCCTACATTACCCTCTGGAAATACTGTACTCTAAGCCTCACTCGTCGTCTCCTCCTCCCAGTCGACAGGGGCTCTCCCTGACCAACACAGCGCTGCCGTGTTTACCAACCTAGCGACAGACCCCCAAGTGAAGTTACTTATACGCCACCTAGTAGTTGCTGTCTCCATTAGCTTTCTCCTCAGCTGGGAACACAAGGGCGAGTCTACACAATGCACGACAACATTATACAGGAAGTCTAAGGAGTGTTCTAGAATACACGTAACGGGAGAAGGAATTCAGCTCATTGTAGATACTTAATGTTTGGAGTTATTTAGCAAGTAGATTACCTGAGTCACTTCCACACACACTAATACATAAATCCAAAGAACAGTAAAGGGAAGAAGGAAGGAAATACGAAAATAAATAACAATATTAGGTGAAAGAGAGAGAAGGAGACACAGAAGCAACAACTAAAGAGAGGAAATAACAGAAGAAAAGCTTAAAGATAAAATGGGAGCATCACGTTCGCCTCTCGCCAAAATACTTACGTCTAGTCCGTCGTCTGGGCTGTGGTCGGATAGGAGGCATTACAACCCCCGAATGTTGCAAGTCCTGAAAAAAAAAAGACGTCATAAATGTTGAGACTATCCCGGGAACAGAGGCTTAATAAGTCTATATCTAATACCTGAACATTGGAACAGTGAATTTCTGTATTTAAATTACGCATATCTGAATGTTTGATACAGGCTATTGAGATGTGAGTGTTATCCTAGTATGCCATCGCTTGTTGCCCGATACAGCTGCTCTCCCAACAGTTATCACCTTTGTGGTTATCTGGCTACTTACCACTTCTTTACTCGTTGTGGAATGCCAGGCCTTTGAACTAGCTGTTGATTGGTATTCCAGTGTATAACTATTACAAGGATGTCACTGGTGTAGGTGGCTGTTCACAGTTGTACTGGTAGTTTTCTCAGCTTTTAAGTTACACAAAACACGTTTGTAGTTTTCTGTTCACTTGTTGTTTCTTAACTTAATATAAACACACGGGGTAGTTTTCTAGATATATTGGTTTAGTAATGTCTGTACAGCTATTTGGTATTGTCAGACTAATGATCATCAGCTATTTTCTTGTAATTAGCTGATAGAGAGAAGTATAGCTGAGAGCCCTAGGGAGCTCGGCTCTAGAAACTTCTATCGAGTATCACTTCTGGCTGTTAACTGGTGCCATGGTGGGTTGATGTTGCTCGCTAGCCTCCACCATATTAAGAAAACGATATCAACACAGTGCTGGTTTGGAGGTTAATTGAATTCCAAGACAAATATGGGGTGGTAAAATAAGTGCTTCTAGTATAGTGAGTTTCTGTTAGAGTAAAACTAGCCAGGCCAGGAGAGCGACATAGCGCAGTTCAGTAACTATGGAGAGAAGCCATCACCGATAGGCCAATAACGACCAGAACACCACACAGTGAACTCTCCAATAAAGGGAGCCAGTTGTAACCGAGATGCCCCACGCAACCTTGCTGCTCTGTCCCGCCCGTCGCCCCGCCCCGCAAGGTCAACACGCCAAACGAGACATATAATTACGAGTGCCCAACCCAGTGTTAAGGTTTAGCCAGAGAACATACCAATAATCTGCAAATTATCGTGTAAGTGTTCCCCATACCCCCCTCCCCTCCCGTTGAACTAGTAAAATAAAACTAACACACATTGGTAGTTCTATACATTACACTTGTACTCAGCCTGTCACTATAAACTATAGTATCTTTACGCTCTTAAGTCACGCTACACCCTTCCCTCACTTTGTCATGGGGTGTATATCACTCATTGTACCAACTTATAAGTCATTAGTCCTCATTTATATAATATCACTGTATATTTGACAGAGGCTAATATATATGTTTTATATTCTACTCGGTCCCTCTCCTGCGCCATCTAGTAGTGTGGCTTACAATTATCTATTTAAAATTTAAGTGAGCATAACGCTCACACAGTACTGGACATGAATGGTTAAGCGCGGTACCTTTCATTATTTATATCACTGGAGAGTCGAAAAGATTAATTTCCTTTATTTTTTGTGATTTATACAAGTTTTTTTTATGTAGATTTAATGGACGTATGGCTGTAACTTCTCGTAACACAGTGATGGGGAGAACAAATTATCTCTACCGTTACCAACTGAGCAACTGTTAAGTTACTGTTACTTGTTTTATGACACGACTTGTGAAGCTGTCATATATGTAACAACCTTGCTGGATGGTCACACTCGTAACGGGCACTTGTGAAGCGGTTACCTTATATTCTAGACGAACTGGAACATAGGTAAATGTTTATTGGTTTTAGTAGCGAAGCCCAATATGTTCCTTTTCTTAGTTTATTATCAACAGAGTCTATGTACACTGCCCAAAGGATAATCACCGTAATAGTCACTGTAACTGTGAGGGCTAGGGGTGGGGGGGGGGGAAGGACGGAGCTCTCAGGGATAGGCTCTAAGGACGTCCAACTGTAGTGAGAACTGAGTATACTGCCCGTGGGTCAAGTCCAAGACAACTGACCTACGGTATTCCGGAGGTGAACGGAAATAAAGTTACATGACTTGTACACATTGACAACAATATATATATATATATATATATATATATATATATATATATATATATATATATATATATATATATATATATATATATGATGGCATTGCACGTAGGTTAGGTTAGGTTTTTTCCGTGCCTTTTTTCTGTGACTTTTTCCTGGTTTATTTCTGGAGACACACCTTGTGCACCATCACGTGCTTTCAACATGCTACCTTACACAGCTACGGAAAATTACAGTGGGTGATAGTTGCACACTTCAAATAAATTAACCCACATTTATATAAATAGTTTTGTCTATAAGACAGGGTCAGGTAGACAGCTCCCCAGAACCAAACAACATCTATCCTGTCTAAGTTACTCAGGGTGGCTGTAGGAAATACCTGCCTAATATCTTGAGGAAGATCGCTTGTTTCCTCATCCACAGATTGTTTCCTTTTCTTATTATCTGTGGGGAAATGTCCTTATCTATACAATTTCATTTTCCACCCCAGAACTGACAAGACTCCATGAAGCGGTTTCTTATTTTTAGTTGACATTTCGACCGACCTCGTGTGATTTCTTAACATGGAACCTTCAGATTGTCCGTCTGTTGTTTTTGTGGTAGCTGGATATTCCCTCACCGGTAATTATATTTCGATAATAATGCTTCCCCCGTTTTCCCTGTGTGAGATAGACCTGAGTCACCGTCCTCTATATGGTCCCACATCTTTCATGACACACCTAATGTACCTTATAATTATCACCACTATTGTACACCTCCTATTTTTCTCCAACACATCGGGCTGTGTTTGTTAGCTTTTCCGAGCGATATCTCAGGTATTTTTTTATAAGATACTGAATTATAGACACAAAACTAACCAAATACTCTGGTAATTTGTAGTTTATATTTTAGTTTTGTAATTATATTTTGTTCGTGGCATAAGACACGGTGTACTGTACATTATTAATACTACTACTTGTGTTCCTGCAACGTTCCGGGTTGTTTATGTATCGGAACAAGTTTATCAAAGTAGCGATCTGTTCCTTAGTGTTCCATACAATTGACCAACCTGTAGATGTAGTCAACGATATTTGAAACTAAGGTGACGTCAAACTTAAAATGAGAGGAGGCTGTTTATTAGTCACACCTGAGTTATTAGGTTTGTTGACGCCTCCATCCTCCTGACCTTGAATTGTCTCTCTGGATTCCTTTGATGTGAGTCATGATACAAATACTTCGCTCATAAATATAACCTTCACCATTATTAATGATTTTGGATACATACATACATACATACGATTGGAAAACCATTTCATAATTACCTTTTACTACAGGTACACTACCCACACTCTACCGCACTCCTTAGATATCAATTTAATTCCTCACACAAACACTAATCAACCACCCCACCTCTCAATAACTCTATCTCACTTCACAGCCCCTACGTAGAGACACTTACCTTGACATAGGGTAGCAAGGGTAGGGAGAGTGAGGCAAGCATATCCAATGAGTAGTGAGGGGGACGCTGTAGCAGTGAGGGGGGTGAGGTACCTGAATTCCTCTTCTTCACCTGATATATTAACTTAGCTGCCCGCGCCTCTGTCCTGTTGGGAGAGAGACGGCCTTAGGTTAGGTTAGATTAGATAAATACATAGATGGATAGAAAGATAGATTGTATAGATACATAGATGATAGCTGGATAGAAAAATAGACATATACAGTAGATAAATAGATAGATTAGCTAAATAGGTGTATAGAAAATAATATATACACCTATAGATATTTATTCAGCAAAATCGTCATACAGGATTATACAGTTAATTAATGTATACAACCGAAGTATGTAGGTAATACATTCATACAGTATACATAGACGGTATTGATGTTATAGTGTATTCATGTGCTTCAATAACTAAGGAGATCTTGAAGCGTGTATTATAGATTAGTAAATACACCACCTTGAAATCCCCTACCCCCCCCCCCAGCTTATTTCACCTGAAGATTTACCACTTTAACGCTACCTGGAGGAGTTAGGTTAGGTTAAGTTAGGCTAAGTTAGCTTTAGGGTGGTTAGGTTAGGTTAAGTTGGGTAGAGTTAGGTTAGGTTAAGTTGGGTAGAGTTAGGTTAGGTTAAGTTGGGTAGAGTTAGGTTAGGTTAAGTTGAGTAGAGTTAGGTTAGGTTAGGTTGGGTAGAGTTAGGTTAGGTTAGGTTAGTTGTTGGGTAGAGTTAGGTTAGGTTAAGTTGGGTAGAGTTAGGTTAGGTTAAGTTGGGTAGAGTTAGGTTAGGTTAAGTTGAGTAGAGTTAGGTTAGGTTAGGTTGGGTAGAGTTAGGTTAGGTTAAGTTGGGTAGAGTTAGGTTAGGTTAAGTTGGGTTGAGTTAGGTTAGGTTAAGTTGGGTAGAGTTAGGTTAGGTTAAGTTGGGTTGAGTTAGGTTAGGTTAAGTTGGGTAGAGTTAGGTTAGGTTAAGTTGGGTAGAGTTAGGTTAGGGAGTGACACTGGAATTCCACATTAAGAAATATCAAGGTCAGGGATCGGCTCGACCTTCGTGTGTGTGTGAGAGCCCCCGACGTCACCTCGCTGCTTCATAAGTTATATATTTCCTTACTATACCTCCAATTATTCCTACCTATTTTAATTTTCATATTGGTTTAGTGTCATTTTTAGTATGGCCCTATTGAGGTGTGGGTAGGTGAGGCTGGGTGTGGGTAGGAGGGGCGGGGTGTGGGTAGGTGGGGCGGGGTGTGGGTGGCGGTGGGTGGGGCGGGGTGTGGGTGGGTGGGGCAGGGTGTGGGTGGGAGGGGCGGGGTGTGGGAGTGGGGCAGGGTATGGGTATATATCAGGTGCAGCTCAGGTTCTCAGCCATGTTAATATTGTTGTTTATCCACTGTATCCGTGTTTTTCTGGATAAATAAACTGTTTCAATTCTTCTCGAATGCAGAGGTGGAGAAAGTGTGCCCCCACGGTCGAGGGTCTCAGTGTCCGACCATACGAGAGTTGTTTGTTGTTGTTTTCAATTACGGGGACACACACACACACACATATATATTAATCATCACATCCTGGTAAACAAAGACCACATATTAATCATCACATCCTGGTAAACAAAGACCACATTAATCATCAAATCCTGGTAAACAAAGACCACATATTAATCATCAAATCCTGGTAAACAAAGACCACATATTAATCATCAAATCCTGGTAAACAAAGGCAAACATATTAATCATCAAATCCTGGTAAACAAAGGCAAACATATTAATCATCAAATCCTGGTAAACAAAGACCACATATTAATCATCACGTCCTGGTAAACAGAGACCACATATTAATCATCTAATCCTGGTAAACAAAGACCACATTTTAATCATCACATCCTGGTAAAAGACCACATATTAATCATCAAATCCTGGTAAACAAAGACCACATATTAATCATCAAATCCTGGTAAACAAAGACCACATATTAATCATCTAATCCTGGTAAACAAAGACCACATTTTAATCATCACATCCTGGTAAAAGACCACATATTAATCATCAAATCCTGGTAAACAAAGACCACATATTAATCATCAAATCCTGGTAAACAAAGACCACATATTAATCATCTAATCCTGGTAAACAAAGACCACATATTAATCATCTAATCCTGGTAAACAAAGACCACATATTAATCATCAAATCCTGGTAAACAGAGACCACATATTAATCATCTAATCCTGGTAAGCAAAGACCATATTTTAATCATCACATCCTGGTAAACAAAGGCCACATATTAATCATCAAATCCTGGTAAACAAAGACCACATATTAATCATCACATCCTGGTAAACAAAGACCACATATTAATCATCACATCCTGGTAAACAAAGACCACATATTAATCATCACATCCTGGTAAACAAAGACCACATATTAATCATCAAATCCTGGTAAACAAAGACCACATATTAATCATCACATCCTGGTAAACAAAGACCACATATTAATCATCACATCCTGGTAAACAAAGACCACATATTAATCATCACATCCTGGTAAACAAAGACCACATGTTTATCTAATCCTGGTAAACAAAGACCACATATTAATCATCTAATCCTGGTAATCAAAGACCATATTTTAATCATCACATCCTGGTAAACAAAGACCACATATTAATCATCAAATCCTGGTAAACAAAGACCACATATTAATCATCAAATCCTGGTAAACAAAGGCCACATATTAATCATCAAATCCTGGTAAACAAAGACCACATATTAATCATCACATCCTGGTAAACAAAGACCACATATTAATCATCACATCCTGGTAAACAAGGACCACATATTAATCATCAAATCCTGGTAAACAAAGACCACATATTAATCATCACATCCTGGTAAACAAAGACCACATATTAATCATCTAATCCTGGTAAACAAAGACCACATATTAATCATCTAATCCTGGTAAACAAAGACCACATATTAATCATCTAATCCTGGTAAACAAAGACCACATTATAATCATCTAATCCTGGTAAACAAAGACCACATATTTGAGTGGTGCTCATAGTATGAAGAAGTACTGCTGGGTAAGCTAATATCGGTGTGATAAATGATGTCACCAGGCGGAGTTTTATTTTCTGAGGAAGCGCTTTAAAGCGGTATAGTTCTGGTTAGTGGGTAGGAGGGGCGGGGTTTAGGTGGATGGGGTGGATAGGGTGGGTGTGCTTTTCCCTCACCGTCTCGAATGCAAGTGTGCCCCATGGTCGAGGGTCTTGGGGTCCGACCATACTAGAGTTGTTTGTTGCTGTTTTTTACGGGGATATATATATATATATATATATATATATATATATATATATATATATATATATATATATATCATAGGACAAACTTATAATCCTCCTTTGGGATGATAATGCATAGATTAATTTAGATTGGATCAGATAAGATTAGATGAGATAATGTTAGTTTGTGTATGTTAGGTTTGGTTATGTTAGTATGGTTAACCATTCGGTAAAATAAGTTTGGTTGGTCAATATTCAGGTGATCACTAAATTCTCTTGTTAATTGTTATTACTTCACTTAACATATACCAAAGAATAGACACAGGACATAACTGCTCGTTGAAACTTATCACAGATGGTCGAACAAGCTGCCTAACCATGTCTTGCCTTGACCCTATTACGTGGTTAGAAGGCCACACGATCACACGTATTCACCCTTAACACAGACCTAACCTAACCTAACACACGAACTAGTAATGAAGAAACGCAGCGAGTTGAATCTTTAATACGAGTAAATAAAAAGTCAAACGTTAAGTATTATATCCTTTTATTAACGTCGACCATTTAAGCTTTAATCCTAGTAACAAAGACCACATATTAATCATCTAATCCTGGTAAACAAAGACCACATATTAATCATCTAATCCTGGTAAACAAAGACCACATATTAATCATCTAATCCTGGTAAACAAAGACCACATATTAATCATCTAATCCTGGTAAACAAAGACCACATATTAATCATCTAATCCTGGTAAACAAAGACCACATATTAATCATCAATTCCTGGTAAACAAAGACCACATATTAATCATCTAATCCTGGTAAACAAAGACCACATATTAATCATCTAATCCTGGTAAACAAAGACCACATATTAATCATCTAATCCTGGTAAACAAAGACCACATATTAATCATCTAATCCTGGTAAACAAAGACCACATATTAATCATCTAATCCTGGTAAACAAAGACCACATATCAATCATCAATTCCTGGTAAACAAAGACCACATATTAATCATCAATTCCTGGTAAACAAAGACCACATATTAATCATCTAATCCTGGTAAACAAAGACCACATATTAATCATCACATCCTGGTAAACAAAGACCACATTAATCATCTAATCCTGGTAAACAAAGACCACATATCAATCATCTAATCCTGGTAAACAAAGACCACATATTAATCATCTAATCCTGGTAAACAAAGACCACATATTAATCATCTAATCCTGCTAAATAATGACCACAAGATGAGCTTTAAATTCAACTAATTAAATTCTCCAATATCCTCCTGACCTCTCAAGAATAAATTATAAAATTGTCTTTCTTATCTCGTAAACTATGAACCCAGGAAACTCTGAGACACATCTAGTCTTTACTCTCACCGTTCACTGTTGTGTTAGGCGCTGACATAAATACAAAGAACAAGGTATTTATGTGTTGTTTTGGGTGTTTATAATCGGTCTCAGTTTCATCATTACTCAGAAGTGAATCAAGTTAAAGAAATGAATATATGATGTAAATTAGGCCAGAAAAAGAGACGTAACTGAACTGGGTCATCCACACGAGTATCCATTATACCAATACGGAAAACCCTAAGCTTTCTCTGGTACAAACATCACCAAAACTCGTTACTGTGTACAAGCTCATAATAATTCGAGTTACTCAATCACATGTGGGTTATAATAAAAATTAATAAACCACCACAATCACCTCATAATCAAGAGATAATTACATAATGAACATGTGAGACAGTCGCCTCCTCGTCGCCTCGCCTCCAGGCCGGACAAAAACAAACATCCGAGGAGTTTGTCCGAC